AATAGTCACAATGTTTATTCTTCGCAAAAGTATGATTTAAAGCGTGACCCTAACTTGCTTATCATGCTTAAGGCACCAGAAACTTATTTTAACTGTGCCATTATGAGTTGAACAACGCCAATTAAATAATATGAAAACAACTCATTTAAAAAACTAAACATCCCAACATTCCTACCCTATTTTTGGATTGGTTGAATTGTATAAACAGGTATGTTTTTCTTGGCCTAAGGTGACAAACATATGACCTAAATACTTCCCAATGGAAGTCCCTTTCTGCACCTGACACCAGTGGTACATGCTGTACAAGGCTCCTACAGTGCACAGAGTAGTAGAAGGAATTTAGCCACTGTAGTCATAGCAGTACACGTTCACTATTGTGAAACTTGTTTTAACATATTTTGATGATTAATGCAGTTTGTCATCAACAGGCATGTAGTCAAAGGATTAGTGCCACATAGTTTTAGCAGGCAGAAGGTGGCCACTTACTACCTTTCAAATCAGTAGGATTTTACAGCAGCTTCCCAGTAGCTGTCTCTGTCATGTAGAGCATGTGTAACACACTGCAGATAATTGGAGGCCAAGGTGCTGACTAGGGCTGGGACGGGTAACTCGGGTACTCAGGTCGGGTGGGTACTGAGTAGGACCTGGGTACCAACAGGACTACCCGGACCTGTGGTTAGTCACGTTATATATTGTTTAATGGCAAAACCTATCTAGAACTCTATGGTTACACTATTATAAATGACTAATGTTCACTTTTCTTTCTGACTATGCACACATTCCTTCTGACTTGATATGTTTGAATAAAGATAAAACTTCAGTCAACTTCAGTGTATGCATGACCAGATCGTTTTATAAGAGGATCTAAATACATTTTGCCAAGGCTACGGTCAAACCATTCCCAATCGGACATTTGGACCTATGTCTTGAAACCTACAGCAGGTACCCAAGTAGGGTCGGGTAATAAGATGGGGGGTACCCGGGTAGGAAATTTGGCCTTAGTACTGACAGTTTGTACTTACATGACATGATCGCACAATAACATAGAAATAGTAACTTAGATGTAAGTTGAACAACTCTTACATACATTTTGGTTGATTATATTTATTACTTTATGTACTTATATATTACTTTATTTGCTTCAAACATCTTTATTTTGCACTTTGACATGTTTAATGTGGACCCATTGACAAAGAATGTGTCCCAGAATTTCATTTCAATAACCTTGCAGGAAATAGTAATTAAATTTTAAATCTATTGATGAAATATGATAAATTGATATCAAATACATATTTACAGACATTGTGAAAAGTGATTTAATAAATGAATGATAGAACAGGTAGGTTCATAACATTATATATTAATTTGATGTTGCTACGGCCTGCAGTGTCTGGGGACTCAGGATATCGTGGCTGTTGTGCCAGCCTGCAGTGTCTAGGGACTCAGGATGTCGTGGCCGGTGTGCAAGCCTGCAGTGGGACTCAGTATGTCGTGGCTGGTGTGCCAGCCTGCAGTGTCTGGGGACTCAGGATGTCGTGGCCGGTGTGCAAGCCTGCAGTGTCTGGGGACTCCGGATGTTGTGGCTGGCTGGTGTGCCAGCCTGCAGTGTCTGGGGACTTAGGATGTCGTGGCTGGTGTGCCAGCCTGCAGTGTCTGGGGACTTAGGATGTCGTGGCTGGTGTGCCAGCCTGCAGTGTCTGGGGACTCAGGATGTTGTGGCTGGCTGGTGTGCCAGTCTGCAGTGTCTGGGGACTCAAGATGTTATGTGTGCCAGCCTGCAGTGTTTTGGGACTCAGTATGTCGTGGCTGGTGTGCCAGCCTGCAGTGTCTGGGGACTTAGGATGTCGTGGCTGGTGTGCCAGCCTGCAGTGTCTGGGGACTCAGGATGTTGTGGCTGGCTGGTGTGCCAGTCTGCAGTGTCTAGGGACTCAGGATGTTGTGGCCGTTGTGCCAGGCTGCAGTGTCTGGGGACTCAGGATGTCGTGGCCGTTGTGCCAGGCTGCAGTGTCTGGGGACTCAGGATGTCGTGTCCGGTGTGCCAGCCTGCAGTGTCTGGGGACTCAGGATGTTGTGGCCGGTGTGCCAGCCTGCAGTGTTTTGGGACTCAGTATGTCATGGCTGGTGTGCCAGCCTGCAGTGTCTGGGGACTTTGGATGTCGTGGCCGGTGTGCCAGCCTGCAGCGTCTGGGGACTCAGTATGTCGTGGCTGGTGTGCCAGCCTGCAGTGTCTGGGGACTCAGGATGTTGTGGCTGGTGTGCAAGCCTGCAGTGTCTGGGGACTCAGGATGTCGTTGCCGGTGTGCCAGCCTGCAGTGTCTGGGGACTCAGGATGTCGTGGCCGGTGTGCCAGCCTGCAGTGTCTGGGGACTTAGGATGTCGTGGCCGTTGTGCCAGCCTGCAGTGTCTGGGGACTCAGGATGTCGTGGCCGTTGTGTCAGCCTGCAGTGTCTGGGGACTCAGGATGTTGTGGCCGGCCGGTGTGCCAGTCTGCAGTGTCGAAAGCTGGAGAGCCCTCTAATGTGGGGTGATATGAGCAATAAGTTTATATATATTGGGTTTAATGGGGGACAAAGGGGCCTGAGGGAGTGACATTTATGAGACATTTTAGATTTCTGTGAGCAAATGCCAAAAGGGAGTGCTCTAGATCATCACATGAACAAGGGAAATGAAGAGGATGTTGACGATTGAAAACCTTTGAGCTTCGATAATAGATGACTACATTTCTTTGTCTATGAATAATCTCCTTTATTTATGTGATGACTTGAGGGTACAGTGCTTTATCCATGGACCAGTAATGTGTACATTGATTCTATACAACTGCCTGCTTTAGCATGTTAAGAATAACAGCAAACAGTGGTTGTGTTCTGATTACTTGCTAAAATCAAGTCCTGCACAGAATACATGCTTGTCGGAAAAGAAATACAACAGGATTGGTTGGTAACTGGTTAAAGTTGTTACAGTGTGTGACTTGCGTGTTGTCATTCATTGACAAGACAAGTTGTTACTCATACTACATGTTCTAACCCAGGTTTCTTTGATCTAGAGGTGATTATTTACAGGTCACCGAGATATAGCGTGAATACTGGGTTGTACAAATAATTCATCACACCCTGACAGTTAAGAGTATGGTTGGTCCTGTAGATAGGAATGACTGAAATGACATAACGGTACATCAGGCCCAATGTATATTTCTACCTGTGTTAGGCTGTGTGTGCCCTTGGTACACATACCTCAATTTGTGCATGATATGGTTGTATGTTACCGTGGTTTCCACAGAATGGGTTGTAGATGAATGGATAAACCACAGGACACATGGTGCATGCTTGTAGTTTTAGTAGTTAAATTTGACATATTTGTGAGTGTTGGGTGTTATGATCTTTTTGTGAATCCATTAACTGCATGGCTTAATTAATATCATGTTTCTTGATGTTTTGCTGAGAAGACCTGTCTGATGCTGGTATTGGCGTATCTGGTTGTATCATGATCATCCTCAGGCAGGTTGACCTTGAGTGCTGTCTAACAATGTCTCACTGTCTCTGGGCAGACGCTCTAGCCACTAGACCACAGTTCGGGGCTCTTTGTATGATTAGATCAATCATTAACTACTGCTTTCATGTACATAAAAAAACATACGACCCCTATATCTGTAGCTTTTTACATTGGCATTATGACAAGAACACATTGACAACAATGCAGCATTCTAGCAGCAGTACTTGTTTGGTAAACGGAACCACAGGTGCATCACAATACCTAGTGGCACAATCTGTGAAGTAGGGTCATGTATTGAGATGAGAAACTTGCCAGTTTAGTCGTGAAAATGACTTGAATTTGAATCTGCTTTGATTCCTTCAATTTGGTAACTGTCGTTCATGTTGACCCTGCTGTTAACATGGTTAATATGTTAAAATATTTAGAGAACGATTATGTTTTTTTCTGAAAAAATGTGTCTTATATTTATGAAAAGAGAAAGTCCCAATAAATCTGTAGAAAAGCACACCTGGGTCTTAGTTTTAATAAGGGCACAGGTGGCCCAGTCGTCTAAGGTGCCACTATTCGCTGTGCAGAGTTGCGTCCCTTGGGCACGCCAGAAACCTATGATTGTGAGTTCGAATCCCAGTTCGCCTCTATTATGTTTCTAGGTTTGTCAGCACCATACTCGTGCTCGTGGGTTTCACCGAAGTGGTAAACGTCCTGCATCACTTCAGGCTTTCCTCCAACATTAAGCTGACATTCCGTGATTTAACTGGAATACTGTTAAAAGCGGCGTTAAAACCCAGCTCACTCACTCACTCACTCACTCAGTTTTAATTGTGAAAATTGTGATCATTGCATTGACTTGGCTCGGTGGGTCCAAGTTGATATGTACTATGATTAGTACAAAAAGATACACACATATATGAACAGTGACAAGGAGGACATGTATTTTGGTTTCAACATAACGAAAATGATTTTTATGTTTCTGTTTTGTAAACATTTTTTGACAGGTGCGTGTGTTCTCAAGCCATTGTTAGTTTGATCCAAATATGCCTTTTACCTTTAATTTGTAAAGCAGTCGAAAATTGTCATGACAGGACTGTGAAACGTGTTGACAGTTTGTTCAATATATGTGTTTAGGCTTGGACAGGGAAGGATGTTGGTTTGTGTGTTGCCATTGATACTGTTTATACTCCACCTGTTGTGAATGCAGCAGTTGGAGATGGTGTAGATTACAGATGCAAGTTATCAGTTTGATCCATATTACCATTATCATGATTATTAATATACCTTCTGATAACAGTTAATGCTCCTTATCTTCACATCATAGTATTAATCATGGAAGTTGAGGTGTCCTTGTTGTAACTCTAATATTATGGGTTAGAAATTAAGATTCCTACATTGAAGCAGCAGACAGACCCCAGGACCTCCCCTAATTTACAACACTGTGTCACATTAGACAGTAATGGGCCTAATCAGCAGTTGTAAATGATCCTGATCATGCTAATTGTGTTGTTTTGTTTCAGATAACGCTGCATCCATTCACTTCGACACACGCACCAAAGCTGTGATGGCTGAGGTCAATTCGGAGGACAAGGTCAATGTGAAAGAAAAGGTGGGCAAGCAAACTATATCCAGGTGTACTCAAGGGTTGATGAGCGTTTATGCTTCACTAAAATCATGAAACTGAAATGTTGGTATTTTGAGAAGTTATTGCCTGCTAAGGTCCCCCAAAAGTTACTTCATAACTTGGTTTCAGGTGACCCCACTTGCCCATTGGTTCACTTTCAACTCTAATGTTTTTTATGAGAGCTGGAAACAGCCATCAAGAAACCCATGGTTGCCTGAAACACAAGTATTTGTATCCATGGTCTTGGGTGACCATGGTGATTCTCTGAATAGCCTGAAAGAAAGCCGATGCACACTAGCTTCTTGAGATCAGAAACACACCAAGAAGCTGATGTCATATGGACATGCTGACACACAGCCAACATCATTCAAATCAGATCCTTCACTCAGATATGTAGTCTGTCTCACAGTCACTGAACCATATTAGTGTCCCTTCTGCCGCCCAGTCCTTTCTGTGATGGAAAAGCCCTAAATGAAGCATGTCTAGATTTTTCTCAGGTTCTGAAGCTCCCATCTCACTGGGGCTCCTTTTCTTATGTTTTCTTTGACTTAGCGTTAGTCTATCAGATATGATACATGTACCTCTCTGCTTCAAGATGTGAGGACACCTGCATAGGAGGTCATGTCAGTTGAATTTTGAGTGAACTTTGACTGATTTGGCTAATTTGTTTACCACCTTGTTTCAGAAATTCAGTTTGTACCATGTGTAAATATGAAAACCTATGCAGAACACTAATGTACCCTTTGATGGTACTCTTTTTTGGGTGTAGATGCCCTGGAGCTCAGAATTATGTATGAAATAACCACAATAAAATAATGGTGATGCTGCTTTCTGCTTTTGGAAGTTTGTTCAATTTTGAGATATAGAAAACAGATATGCAGGTTTGAGTGCTTTACTCACTCGTATCAAGAATTTAGAAAACTCCACTGTGATTGTCTGATGAGAAAGTTCACCTGACACAACCTGCTATGGAGGTGTCGTCAGATCATCACGCAGAGAGGTAGCGTGTCGAAGTAACAGATCTGATTTCAATGAGATTGACACACAGCAGATGCAAAAATTATTCATGTATCATATTTGTCAGCATGATCATGATGTAAACCTCATAAAGTGAATGGTTTCAGAATTCTTTCTGATAAGCTAAGTATGTTCCTGACAAATATAACAATTTGCATGAACTTGATGAGTGCATGCATGTTTAATGCAGGAACCTTATTTGTTGATTGATTCGTACAACACAGAATACTATTGATAAAGTGTGTGTTGACCACGTTGACAGAATACTATTGATAAAGTGTGTATTGACAGAATACTGTTGATAAAGTGTGTATTGGCAGAATACTACATGTACTATTGATAAAGTGTGTATTGACAGAATACTGTTGATAAACTGTGTGTTGACAGAATACTTTTGATAAAGTGTGTATTGGCAGAATACTATTGATAAAGTGTATATTGACAGAATACTGTTGATAAAGTGTGTGTTGACAGAATACTGTTGATAAAGTGTGTGTTGACAGAATACTGTTGATAAAGTGTGTATGGGCAGAATACTATTGATAAAGTGTGTATTGACTGAATACTTTTGATAAAGTGTGTGTTGACAGAATACTGTTGATAAAGTGTGTGTTGACAGAATACTGTTGATAAAGTGTGTATTGGCAGAATACTGTTGATAAAGTGTGTATTGGCAGAATACTACATGTACTATTGATACAGTGTGTATTGACAGAATACTGTTGATAAAATGTGTGTTGACAGAATCTTATTGATAAAGTGTTAATTGACAGAATATTGTTGATAAAGTGTGTGTTGACAGAATACTGTTGATAAAGTGTGTATTGGTAGAATACTATTGATAAAGTGTATATTAGCAGAATACTGTTGATAAAGTGTGTATTGGCAGAATACTACATGTACTATTGATACAGTGTGTATTGACAGAATACTGTTGATAAAATGTGTGTTGACAGAATACTATTGATAAAGTGTTAATTGACAGAATATTGTTGATAAAGTGTGTGTTGACAGAATACTGTTGATAAAGTGTGTGTTGGCAGAATAATATTGATAAAGTGTGTATTGGCAGAATACTGTTGATAAAGTGTGTGTTGACAGAATACTATTGATAAAGTGTGTGTTGACAGAATACTATTGATAAAGTGTGTATTCGCAGAATACTATTGATAAAGTGTGTATTAGCAGAATACTATTGATAAAGTGTGTATTGACATATTTATGGAATGTGACTATTTTGTCTAACACAGAAGGGGGCACGGGTGGCCCAGTCGTCTAAGGAGCCGTGATTCGCTGTGCAGAGTTGCGTCCCTTGGGCACGCCAGAAACCTATGATTGTTGGTTCGAATCCCGGTTCGCCCCGATTATGTTTCTAGGTTTGTCAGCACCATACCCATGCTTGTGGGTTTCACCGAAGTGGTAAACATCTGAGACCTGCATCACTTCGGGCTTTCCTCCCACATTAAGCTGTCATGCTGTGATATAACTGGAATACTGTTAAAAGCGGCGTTAAACACAACTCACTCACTCACTCACTCTAACACAGAATGCTATTGATAAAGTGTGTATTGACATATTTGTGGCATGTGACTATTTTGTCTAACACAGAATACTATTGATGAACAGAGCCCAAGATAACTTTTTGAGCAATTGAGTTTTACTCAACGTTTTCTATTTTAGTTGGTTTATTACATTTTTCATTGGGTAACTAATACTTTTATACTCATCTATTTATCAAGCTTTTGGGTTTTTTCCCAAAATGAGTAAACATTTTGAGATTTAACAAAGAATGAATGAATTTTTTAGTATTAGTATATAATGTTTCTGAATATAGGCTTGACTCGGAAAGTAAATCTGCTCGAAATTGTGTTTCAGAAATTAGCTCCATTGTAAGCATGCTTAAAGAGCGTCATTGGGTATTTACGTGTGCTGTTTTTATGCATTTGAGTTTTTCATTAAATACATGTGTTTCTGTACGCAAGTTCATTGAAAGTAATTGTGTTTTGATATTTTTTGGGTGGTATTTTACGCAAATACGCAGCTTATCTGTAGCTCTGTGATAAAGTTTGTGTTGACATATGTGTGGCATGTTGCTATTTTTAGAACAGGTGAATGCAGAAAACAATACTGTGCTTCTTTCAGGTTACGTCAGTGCGAGAAGTGGTCCCAGGGAAGAGCACCAATGAGATAGTTCTAGTTCTTCAGTACTATGATTACAATGTAGAAAGGGCAATACAGGCATACTTAGAAGGTGAGTGACAGATTATATTGTGTCGATACTACACTGACCTGATGATAAAATATGAAGGAGAGACTGTTTTTCCATTGATAAAAAATTGATTCAAACCTGTGTAACAGGCTGTATGTTGCCCAGTATTTAAGCCTAATAGACAATTCAGGATGTGTTACACATGAACTAGTATGGTGTTACTTTTACGAAGATGAACTTCCTTGGATAGACCTGTCCTACAGCCATGATACCACCTGGAAAATATGCTTTTTATATATACTTCCTGTGTCCCTGTTTAGAATAGGCCCCCACTCTGTTGCTTGTCATAAGGGGCAACTTAACTGGATTGGGTGGTCAGGATGGGACTTAGCTGATTGTGTTTCATTTACCCATGATGGCATGCTTATTCTTTCAGTCATGGGCCCAGATATATCTTGAATATTGCTAATTGCAATATGACAAACAACAGACAAACAACAAATCTTGTTAACTTGGTCCCTCAATATTTTAACACTTCTTCATGTTGAGGGTTATCCTTCACATTGACAGACATACAGGTGGTTTATTTTGTCAGAAAAGCGTGGTATTCTATGTTGAATCAAAATGCTTTGTTTATTTCAGATGGTGCTAAAGAGGCCTTGACTGAATGGCATTTTACAGGTAACAAGGTATGTATTGACAGGTTAGGCTGACCAGCAAACTAGATATTTTAATTGTGTATTTTGAAAATGTTGAAAAGTGGAATTTGTTTATTTCCTCATTCACATCTTTATCATGAAACAACTGCCTTGTATCTGTGTATATCTGTCACTGATTGTTAGAGGTCTGCAGAAAATGCAGGCCTTTTAGGCAAATGATCCCGACATCCTACATTTTAGGGAATCAGGAAACAATGTGAAAATATTCTCCTGCACTTGCTTGATCATTATATTGCATTAAACATCTTCATAGTATTCCTCCAAGAAGAATATAGGGAATACATCCCCAGCACCTAATATGATGTTTGTGTCATTACAGTACACAGACAGTGCATATCAATGCTCATGCTATCATTGATGGCACTGCATTACTCGCCCATGGCGTAATATAACTTTCCGGGCTGCTGTACATACAGTAGAATGAAATAAGAACACAGTGGTATTGGTGTTAAGCAGACTTGTGGGATTTAAAAGTTTAAACCGGGGTAGACAGTGGTATGGATTAGATTACCTGATATATTAACTGCAAGAGAGCTTTAGTATTACAGACTAAATGTGCACAGGATGTAGAAAAATATTTGTGAAATATTCCAGGTCCCAAATAAGAAGAAGAAAAGTAAGAAGACAAAAGCATCTGGAGGTAACCAGAGTCCTCCTACTGAAGACAAGAAGACTGATGTAGCCAACCATACCAAAGAGCCACTTACAAATGGGGATGTACATGAAGGTGAGGTATACAGGGCCCCAGCAGCCCACCCGGGACCAGCATGAAGATTGGGGGGGCTCACAATGTGTGACCTGGCTGATTGAGCGGCATCGTCGTTTCACATTGGACTAGTCTGAATGAGGATGTGCCATCCTCGCAGGGACCGATCTCATTAAAATCAGATCTTAGTTCTCGCTACCGCTAAACAAAGATCTGAGGACACCCTGTTACGGGTCACGTCAGACTGACCAATGGAATGACTGACAAGAAGTCGACATTAGCCAATCAGAAAACAGCTTTCTCGTGCTTTACGGCACTAATTTCTAATTGACGAGTACGCTTCGAAACATATTTTGACAAATTCTCGATTAAAAAATTGAAAGCTGAACAAAAGAACATTCTGGGATGGCAAATCATGCAAATAGAAGGTCTTGATTGTATGGATTCAGTCATAAAGCCCGTAACTATCATTCGGAATACCCTGTGTTAAAGTTTTGGAGGCTGCATATTTAGGAATCACATTCCGACTGTCACTTTCATGATCTGGTAAGTGACGCTTTGATTGGTCGGATGAAAGGTCGTTCTGACGTGACCCCTAATGGGAAGTCCTCAGATCTTTGTTTAGCGGTAGCGAGTACAAAGATCTGATTTTAATGAGATTGCGCAGGGACCTGGTTTCAATAGATCACAAGCCCTCCCTTGCTTGTTGGGTTGTCAGACACAGTGACAGCCCTCTCTTGCTTGTTGGGTGGTCCGACACAGTGACTTGGTTGATTGAGTTGTGTTATTCCGGAAGTGGGATGCGGATTGTATTATCAACCTCTGGTTTGCTTGGTCCAGACTTGATCATTTTCAGGCTGCCTTGATATAGCTCATGTATTGCCGACTGGCGTTATACAGAATCCACTCACACCTACTTTGGTATGTATCATACTCACAATATGCAAATTGCCATTAGGTTATGATGGGAACAATGGTGAGATTGAGTATTTTGACTGAGGATGTACGTTTGAAAATGTTATGGATATAAACAACAGTTCTTTGACTGATGAAAATTGGTTTTGAAATTGATGAATGTCTGGACTGTATGTGACTTGATGTTCATTTTGACATTCATCAGGATGTTTCATAACTGCAGAGGCATTTAAGACTGTGTTCCAACATGTCCAAGGAGGGTTATGTTCATCAGTGATGGATTCATGTTTAAAGTATACCTGACAAGCTCAAGGAGAGGGCTATTAAAACAACACTCAGTTTTGATACTGTTTATTGTGATGTAATTAAATTTGTTGTGTGTTACTTGTAATTCCTGCAATCTTATTGGCTGAATGGGTCATTAACCTTTTTCATTTATTTTGCTATGAATGTTATAACATCAGCTATGCTCACTAAAATGACAACTTTCATGTGTTGATTGGCTTCTGCCTTTGGAGGTGTGTTCATGAACAGTCACCTGATTCAAGTCATGCCACAAAGGGTATTCCTACGCCAGGAACATTTATTGATCTTGTCATATGTATCTGTTTTGATTCCTATGATGTTTTGGTCATGAAACTATTGTGGAGAACAGATGTTGTATTTGTGAAATATAATTATGAGGATTGACTATGTAGATTTTTCAGTTAATTAGGGTATTAATAAAAAAAAAGATGTGCAAATTTTTGTAAGAATCTGCTATGCGAATTCATGCAGTTTGAACATAGTTTTTCGATTCATACCTCAGTGAAGAAAATGAGGTACACCGTCAATCCTTAGTGCGTTTGAAAGAACATAGATGCAGTTTCCAGACTTGGTTACCATTTTGAGTATTTGTGGTTTGTGATGCTAGACTTAAACAATGACCAGATGTAAGAAGCTGCTTGTCTGACCTGCTGCTGCTAATGTTTACAGATGAGGAGCTTCTGCAGGCACGGGCCAGGCTGCTGGATGGAGCCACCCCTGTCCCTGCACAGCCCACCCCCGGGGCAACAGCCGCTCCGACTTCTGCTCCCTCCACTACCCCCGCTCCCTCCACTCCACCTCCTCCTACATCATCTACTGATAAGGCCAAGGCATCGACACATCACAACAAACACTATAACAAGCATTCGGACAAACACTCTGACAAACACTCAGGTATCTGCTTGTCCTGTGGTCACTTTGAGAATGAGAATGTGAATGAGGATTTTCTTGAGATAGCTTGTACAATGCTTCTTTTGAGTCCTGAACTTGCACTTTAGCATAATTTTCAGTAGATCTGAGAGTTTATGTATGGACTTTTAAAAACCAGCCTTAATGTTTATAGATAGAGAGAAATAATTCTACCGACTATGTACTAGTAGGTTTTGCTGCAGTTATTACATGACTGCAAGGGGTTCTGGTATAAATATGTTATTCAACTCTGTGTAACCAACACTACTTAACATGTTTAAGTTTGGAGAAGTATCAGGGTTACACATTATCTATATTAATTGTGGTAAAATTTCTGTAAGATTTACTAAAGAAGATTGAGATTGCCCATGGCAGCCTGACAATATATGAAGGGCATGTTGCAGATCCCCATGGCTATCAAAACACCCATCATCAGCGACAACGAACCTCCAGTGAACGAAGCGTGTCTAGTGTTGGCAGCCAGGGTGTAAAGAAACCATTTGCAGGTAGGGCCATAGTGCTTCAGACCGAATGTCAGGATGCTGACTCAGTAGTTTTTTCCTGTAACCATGGTAACATCTTTTGTTAAGTCGCCTTGTGTTTTGTCTGAGGATTCTGTTCAACATATCATCTGTTTTTATCGATGTCTGTTGACATTTTATCCTGTTGCCTTACACATGTTTTAAGGGAGATAACCGTCCATTTGCAGTATCCTTCTTTACTGTTTCAGTTTGCTTACTGTTTCCAGAGTTTCTTGAGATATTACACTTAAATATTGCATCAACTTGATTCACCATTATGATATTACAGGTTTGGAAAAGTCTACAAAAGATCTCCAGCGCCAGACGATATCCCTGGAGAGGTTACGTATGGGCCTGGACTCTGAGATAGAGAAGGCTTACAAGAGAGTGAAAGCAGTGTTTGATGAGGCCAGGAACAGGTAGGTCACTTTGTACAATAGTTCTCATGGATGCTCCCACTTGATAAAGGGGCACCTGCTTGTTGTGGGGGCAATCACAGGATCCCAGTTGAAATGTAATGAACTGTTATCATCAGGTTGAAATATCACAAAAGTAAGTTGCTGCTGTATGTACACCACTCAACGTTAGCTAAGTACCACACCTTTGACTAAAGGTTACTGTTTTGGTCCTTATCAAATGTTGAGTGGTATATATTACAGTAAACTACGGTTATAAGGAACTCAAAGGGACCACTAGTTTTAGTTCGCAATAACCATAGTTCGTTATAAGCATATTTACAGCATATATACAACAAATGGCTGAGACTAAAAAATAAGTTTGTTATATCAGTCAGTTCGTTATAAGCATGTTCGTTATAAACGTAGTTTACTGTATATGACAAATGAGAAACAGATTATTATTGTTTGAAACCCTTAAAAAGAGTTTCACTAATATGTTAGCTTATTTTGAGGTCTTAGTACTGGGTTTACACCAAACAAAACTGCCTTTAAAACAAAAATTATTATTATTGTCAAATCGATAATTAATTGTCCATTGACATTTGTGATGGTGTATTAACATGATTAACAATCTCTGAAGATCATCAGAAAACAGTAAGATAACCCTTTTTCACTGATGTAATTGTCTCACCTCAGCTTAAATGACCGGGAAGTTCAGTTGATACGAGAAGTTGACGCCTTGAAAGACCAAGCCAGTGAGTAGACCTGTCAGTCTGAATCTGACAAGCTTCAGTGTTGGTTGTTAACAGTTGTCTATGTGTAGTTATCATGGTTATCGTCTAGTACTTTCAACATGATGGATTGATGATAGACTTGATCTTCAGTAACCCATGCTTGTCGTAAGAGGCGACTAATGGGATCGGGTGGTCAGGCTCTGTGACTTGTTTGATGCATGTCATTGTATCCCAATTGCGTAGAACGTAGACCATCGTCATACAGTTGAAATATTGCTGAGTGGCATTAAATACACACAAACAAACGACATGACAGGAAACCTGCGCGATGTCATTCCTAATTCATTATTAGCTAATTTATGTTGATCTTCTATTTTATATCTACATCTTTTCAACACACACGATGCATAAAATCAATTTGTTAAACATATTTATTAGATTGCCAAAAACATGTACCATAGTGGAAAGTTCTTAATGACTGACACAGCAAGGATTTCAGGTTGGCATAGATTCCCAGGAAACTATGATTGTCGTAAGGTAAGGACTTAATGGAATGGGTGGTCAGACTCAGTGACTAAGTTGATAGCTTGATATTGTACCCGAACTAAGTGAATCATTGTTGACAATACCAATCACTAGATTGTCTAGCCCAGAGTTCATTTACAGGCTGTCGAGCATGCCCAGGCCTGAATAGATTTCCAGTGTTCATTGGAACTAGTTATGTCGAAGTTGTCTGATCAGACATTATCATGGAAAGCGTTTAGTACATAACAGGTTGTGTGTGTCTAGCTATGTAAGCTTAAATATGTGGTACTGTGTAGACAAGCACATTTACAGTATTTGACGTAATAAGCGCCCACGGCGCTCTTAAAATTAGAAATAGGGGGCTCTTATTAGAATATAATTTTAGTGAGAAAAAAAACAGTTGAAAGATCATTAATTTTGTAGTTTATGCTGACAGCCTGAAATGATACAAAAGAAAAGTCTGTGCATATTATACACAACAGATATATTTTTTCCAGAATTTAATTGCCCGTAATTAAGGGTGCATATAACACACGAGTGCGTATTACACATGAATGAATAAGTCTTGTGTACATTGATCAATCGGAAGGGGTGCCAATTGGGATTGTTCATCAGCCAATATATTAGCAAATATCGCCATGAGCGCTTATTACTCATTATGTTGACTATGGTAAACAAAACAGATTGTATGTGTATAGTTGGGTGAGCTGATGTTTATATGTTCTGTGTAGATGTCGTGTTCCGCATGCGTCAAGTCAAGGCTGCAGAACTGAAGGTTCGTGTGGAGAGGGCAGAGCGACTCAACAATTCTGAACTAGCAGAACTTAGGGCAGATATTAAAGTGAGTATTAAATTGAATTAAGAATGACCATGCATGAAATTAATCGAGAAAGTCCTAGGATCCTTGCTATGACCCTAATGTTGACAGTTTATATAGGGGTCATGACTCTTGGGATCGTATGTGGATCATCTTTACCTTGAAACAATTCCTAGCAATATTTTGATGTCCATCAAAACAAGTCTGAACATGTTTGAGATCTAAGTGAAACAGCTGTTAGATGTAGGGCTATTAATATTAAATGACCTAAAATCCAATGGCACAGTATTTTGCCAAAGGGTTATGTATCAACTTTGGGAAGATTTTCTTTGTTTTACATCTGTCTACATGATCTAACCTAATTATAATCAAACATGGTGTCAATCTCAATTATCAATATTTCAACAGAGACAATGGCAGCACATCGATAGTTTGATCCATTGTTACACCCCCCAGCAGGAAAGGTGAATCACACCAAGACCCCCCTGAATTTGTAACACTGTATAATCCTGTGCTGTGACTCCATTGCTGTGATACACTGAGAACTACATACTGCGAACAAGGGGTGAATGGTTCTGAATAAAGGGCCAGTGAATGTCTGTCTATACCATGTACACTGAGACTTGATATGCTAATGTTCATGGTTGATGAGTTGTAACCAAACTGATATCATTGTTTTCCCTTCAGTTGTTTGTAAGTGACAGGAAGATTGACGAGGATCTCGGCCGGACTACAAGATTTGTGTATGACTCGGACCACTTTTTACAGGTGAGCACTGGAGAAAACAACATGCAATTGATTAGAATGCTTATAAAAAAATTTCTCCACTTCGTTTTGTTCTTTTGATGAGTTTCTTTATGGTATCACTGATACTTTTGTAATGATGGTTGTGGTATTAGCAAAACCCTAAATGGGCCCCATCCTTAAATGGGCCACAACCAAAGGCAGGATAGGGGAGATAACTCTCACAAGCATGTTGCTAGCTGCAAGCGCATGGTATCAGGCACACTCTTGTACACAGCTACACTTACAGTGATTAAACACTGTTAACGAAGGAAGACGTCTTTGTCATATTGCCACAATTAAAGATTGACTGTGTATTTTTTTCGGTTCAATGAGGTATGAATTGAAAAACTGTTGTGCAAACTGTATGAATCCGCCTCAATGAACCGAAAAAAATACACAGTCAATGCTTATAATTAATTTCGACAATGAAAACATGTTTTATCCACTGTAGTTTAATCAAAAACAGTTGTACCGGTATATATCAAAGCAGACAAAAATGATGAGATTGATAAACATTCCAGTTGTAGGAAAACATACTGTTGTGTGACATGAATCAGGTGATTGTTTAATGTATGCACATAACTTGACACGCCTACAAAGTCAGTAGCCAATCAAAGGAGAGTATGATAAAAACAAAGTTCATAGGACCTGTCAATCAAGACGAGGCGAGAAGAACTGCAACAGTCAGACTGTAACGAACCGGAACAAATATGTCTGGGAGAAGGTGGCTGTTTCAAATGGCATGGTCAGTTACCGTCAGATTCAAACATTAGTTCCCTGAGAACGAGAAGACACATTTTGAAAAATGCTAGTTAGATATGAAACCCGAAGACGTGCAAGTTGTGGAACTGTGGCGAGCGGGGAAAAACAGGCGAGAGAGCCTGCATGTTTGCTGTTTCATTCCTTCTCGACCTTCGCTCTCAAAGAGTTGTTTGGACAATGAATATGCATCAATTTCGATTAATTTCTTGTGCATGACGATACACGTGAGCAGAATTGGAATTCCCTTGATTGTAATTCTGTAGTAATAAAAGTGGTCTGCCACAGTTGGCGTGGCTTAATGTTTTACATTCATTGGGAAATGAATGCAATAACACGTGACCAATTCAGCTAATCAGAATGCAGGAATTACGATGAACACAACACAAATTTAATTATTGGTAGTTGAAATTTGATTTAAATGATTTTGTGTTTTTCTTTCAGGAAATAAGGACATTTGGATCAGGTAAGATTCTGTAGCATGTAAATAACACAACAGTTGTCAAAATGTCTGAACATTGCAAATGACAATAAGCTGTGTGTTACTATTTGGATGATATTGATAACTAGTGACTTCCCATCTCTCACTGAATTCAAGGCAGCTTAGCTCCTTATTTTGACAAGTTTGTTGGTTAAGAAGCATCTGTACTTGACCATGACATAGTAAGTTGTTGCAATATCATTTGGGGTACATGTGGTTTTATGCGTCCAGCATTAGATTCAAAACCTCCTGCTCGTGGTATAACACCTAACTAGGGATGCATAAAATCATATGTACCCCAAGTGATACAATGAATTTATCTTACCGAGATGTTATAATTTGCCAAGATTTCAAACAAATTCAAAAGTGATAAAAAAAAACTGTTGTTAACTTGTGCTATGTCATGTGATGTTCATTGACTCGGAGGAAAAAACCATGCAACCTTTTTCTTCAAAGCAGAGTATAAGGGATTTATACACAGAAATTTATTTCCCTTGCAGGCCGAATACATTATATTTTAGTAAGATTACATGAACCAATCAGATGTCATTCTGACATGGAGGTATGATACTCTCACTAAGGATGCCTAAGCATCCAGCCTGTTCACCTAGAGATACATTCACCCTAAACTGGTTACCACAGACATGAAGCTGACCAGGAAACTGTTTTATTCACCAGCTTCAATTATGAGAACTCTGATGTCCTAGTTTCCATCCATCTTAACTTTTCTGGATGATAAATATGAGAATACATCTTGATTTGTGATGCTGGAACTGTTGTACAGATGCAGAGTCAAAGGTGTTGACTTGTTTCCCCATCAATATTTTCAGTTGTACCTGTGAAGTGCTCCTACAACACTCGCCGTCCGTCCGTCTCCTCTGTAGCTAGTAGTGTCGGACAGGATGAGTCCTTGTCTCCAGGCCTTAGATCTACATCTCAACCTATGCATACTGGTAATGTCTTATAGATTTCTGAATATAGGGCACCTTTCGGGGGTGGTGTTGTTTCTGTTCTAAGCCTGCCATCGATCAACCAGTGTCTATAATGATAAATACCCTTCACCCATTCTCCATCATATCTTCGTTGTAAGTCCTGTTTAAATATCACTGTGCTAAGTACAGTCATCCAATCGAATGACACTGTTTGGTGATGTCACAAGTACTTGACTCCCCTTCTTGTGTACTGTGTAATATAAGTTAACATGATGATAGCACACCTTTTTGTGTTTATCATGTATAATAGGAATTAACATATTCTATATCCTGATCATGCTGATCTGGATGCAGTCAGGATGGATGTAAGTTACTCAGAACCTAGTCATTACTATTGGACATTAACATGATAATTATTTTTTTTCGGATAGGCTTTGAAAAATGGTTTCCTATAAATGCTTGGTGATAATGAGGATTGGTGTATTTCCAGACCTAGAAAGTGCCTCAAATTCAAGAGACAACAATTTGTCTGCGGCAGAAATGGCTCAACTTCAACAACGATTGAAAGACTCACTGCAATTACAGGTGAGATTATATCTACATTAATCAGTCTCCTCACCTTGAAGGGACACAGGGGAAGCAGTGCTCTGCAGGGACTAACAAGAATAGAAGCACAGTTGGAAGTTCTGATTAAAATATAGTAGAGTCAAATTGACACCTTTTCATTGGAAACCACACCTCTCTGTATGAAGCACTAAGAATCGAATGCAGTCACATCCATTGTAATTTATTGATGAGTTTCTCCTGCTTCAGTCAAATTCACCAACGTCTGTGTTAAAACTTTATAGATTTACAGTCTATATTAAATGTTCTTTGATCATAGTTTGTATTACCATCATCACCATGATAATCCACAGATATGGCGGAGACTATTTTGTGAAGGGTCACACTATATGGGTAGCAGGCAGTAAGCCAGATGAGGTCACTCATAACTGTTGAGACAAAATATACATCAATTCTATGCTACAATAGTGCAATTTTTTGGCGTGTAAGAAACAGATTACAGACTCGTAGCTGTCATAAACCATTATCTTACAACTTGATTCAAAACATATTTAACTCACTTTTGCTCTTTTTGAAAGTAGTCGTAAGGTATATGGTATCTGAGTAGTAATCTGACAGACACTTGTGAAGTCATCTGTTTATGTAATTTAGACATGCATGTAGAGTGGGTTTGGAGTGGTAGTGCAACTATTACTGTATTATAGTCTTGTTTCTGATTCAGTAAATAAAGGCATAAACTTCATTATTTTAATCAGAACTGCAGATTTTTGTGATGTAAAACTTACTGAAATTCTATAACTCTTGGAGCCTGTCATCTGGAGGTCTGTCAGCGTTTTCCTGGCCACGTGACATGACCACTGGTCAGCTCCCAAGTCTGACACCCACTGCTAACCACCTCTTCCAGTCAGTCAGATTCATTCTTGACATCCAAGAAGTCAGAGCTCTTTAAATTTCAGTGAATGTAGCATGATACAGAGAAACTAGCTCCAACAAGCAGATTGCAAGCTTTGATTATGTTCATTTTCTGAGCATAAATCGATTTCTTATGACTCATTTGTATAAATAGGCACATTTATCGGGGAGTGAGTTAGTGTGTCGAAATGTAACATTGCATTAGCATTATCTCGACCATAAAGCAATGTGAACATGCTACTCACCTTATGTATGACCTTTAGAACAGAAATGATAAGAAAACTTTTTCATTTTTCTTTTTTAATTTGAAATGTCTTGATTGTTCAGAGCTATTTTGATCTTTGTCTAGCTATCATACAGATAGGGATTTCAGATTGAATCAGATTTGACTGGAACAATTTTGAACACTTGTGTGGTCCCTCAGAGATTCTGCAGGTGAAACCTGGAAGCCTTGTTTGATAGAAGTGTTGTGAGTCTGGCAAAATACTATGTATGACTGTCTCTGTTGCTCATATAGATATTGGCACGATTCATCTGGTGTTTTATTTTTCACTATGCAGAAACCTAATAAGAAGAAGGTTTGTATGTCTGCTTGTTCCTATTCCTGATGAATCATTAACCTGTGTGAAAATTAGTCCTCCCAAGGCAGCTGGCTGTGATGCATTGCTTCTTTTATATTTTAGTTTCTATTGATTCTTTTATTTTATTTTACATTAAGTGCCAATGAGTTTTTTCCCAGCTTTGAGCTCATCCCCTTGAATATGAAATCTTTGATTATGTCATGGGCTTGGCTTGACTATGCTTATTTTCTTCATCTTGTGCATTAGATGCCTTTTATTATATCCCCTTAGGTGAAGGTTGAGTGTAATAATCCCACTCCTTTACAGTATTTCTGTAAGGTTTTATGTTTTTTTTGTCTGTAGTAGTGTTTTGTATTTGGATAACGATGTAATCAGTTGTTTTGACCCCCTGGGGATTCAGATGTAGAATAAATACTCAGTAACCTCTGCTTGCTGTATGAGGCGATTTAATGGATGGTCAGGCTCAGTGACTTAGGCGATAGTGTGTTATTGTTCCCCAGTGGCATGGATCGTTGCTTATGATATTAAGCACTGGTTTATCTGGTCCAGACTTGATCTACCGGCCATCGTCATGCAGCTGGAATATTGCTGAGTACTGCACTAAACACACTGTTGTCCTGACAGTTACGTTGCTCAGCCATCAGAAAGACAACAGTAGCATTGAGAAGTGTTTGTGGGTGATGTCTGATCCTTGATTACACTAATATCTGCATGACAATCAAGATGCCTCTGATCCATCTCTCCACTTGAAATCTGCCTGCCAGGAAATTAATTTTGGTTTGGCAATTAAATCAGTAATTAAGTCTAATTTGGAAAGACATACAGTGTTTGATCCACGAATAGACATGAAGTCATGAACACCTTAGTACTGAGCTTGGTCAGTAAGTTGGCAAGCTGAGATGATAAGATATGTAAATGAGTAAAACACTCTTTCAAATGATACCAAAGAGACAAGTTGAAACTGTTGGAAGAAGCAGTGTTTTTCCGAGATTAACTGTATGATATGTTAATGAATCCGTTCATTTTTGTAGGGTTTGTCAGTGAAGTCTCCGCCTCCAAGAAACAGACCAGCATCAGGGACTGCTCAAAGAGAAGATGGTGATCAAGGAGGTACGTGGGTGGATAGCAGTTTATTGTAGGATCCGTCACAATCTCTGTGTCCACAGTGGATTGTCTAAAATGGAAACAAAATGTTATCTATGGGGCTTTTGGTTTGGGGTTCATCTGTGGTTTGAGCACTAAGATTGCTTTGTGGTTTCCAAAGCCCTAGATGATAATTTTGATGTGGCCAGACTTTACATTGCAAAATGCAGAGGAAAGACGACAGTGTATGAAATAATTTAAGAATATTATTATGCAGCTTGATTTGTTTTCAAGTTCTTAAATATTTAATCTTGAATTACAGATCTTGTAGATTGTTGAAATATGTATAAACACAGCATATTATTATGCTTTTTATTACATATTTTTCGTGTTGGGGCAGACTAGAAAAAAAATATGGGTGTTGTCCTTACATTAATTCGTATAGAAGACATCACTTGTTGAGAGATTAATACCACCATGCTTCTTTGCTTCAGATGACTTTCGGAGGAACAAGTCTGGTCGCAGGAGACGGGATTACCCCAGGGACAACCCCAGGGATACTCCCAGGGATACTCTCCAACAAGATGCTTCTGATCATGTGAAAGATAACCACTCTAGCATGTCCCAGTCTGCTCAATCAGGTTCCACACCGCAAACCAACCCCAACAATAGACCCAACCAGTCTCCAAGAAGGAACTACTCGGGGGGGCAATCCAGTCCCCGCAGATATGGCAGTGGAGGGCCCCGGGGGAGGGGACGTCGAGGGAGGGGGGATGGCTATCCTGAGGATGGACCACAACAAAGGGAATATGAACGCAGCCCAAGAGGGCGTGGAGAGGGCAGGGGTAGAGGGGGGAGAGGTAGGGATGGTGGGGGAAGAGGCAGAAATCATCCTAGTCCTCACCCTAATGCTCAATCTAGTCAGGCTGGCAGCACGTCAGGAACCCCAACTCTCAATGGGACAAGTGTAAATGGACAGAATTGACTACTGGCTTCATGACTGAAGGTTTTCATATGCAGACATTGTTTTCTTTTTGTTTATGTTGTAATTATTGTAACAAGTGTTAATGTGTTACTTAGGAATTTCTTACAAAAATTGTGTTTGAGAAATTGTCTTTACCTAGGTTGATTTTCATTTTTGATGTTTAAAATCTTACGTTTATGATTCATGAAAGCCACAGGCATAGGTGGACATGTATCTGTGGGGGTCTGCTGTTTCCTGGTAATCATTTTTGACCACACAGAGTATGACATTAGATGTAAGATATTCCCCTTTGCAGTCCATACAAATCACTATATTTTCAGTTCACCGTCAACTGACACTCGAAATACCATTAACTGTTTTGTGAATTGTATTTGGACAACGTGACTTTAATCGGTATGAAAGCGTACACTGAAGTATGTTGACAGTTAAGATCAGTTACTGAAAGATTAAATGACTCACAATATTCTTTCTAGGGTCCATCTAATGACAACTTTTCATTCATCAAGTGTATATGTTATAGGAGAAACTGCCTAAGTTGAACATTCTTATTTTTGTGGGTGAATGGTTTGATTTGACAAGTGTAATTTTGGTTATTTTCCACTACCGGTATTTTGATGAAGAACCTCCATGCAACTTCCGTCATGATATGACGCCATTGACTTCGTCCATTTTTGTGGTTAGGCTGTACATTTTGTACAGACAATATTTGCTTTGTAAAATGCTTTGTTACAGAATTTGTAGATATGCAAATGTCTCCAAAGATGGTTTACTTGATAATGTTGTAACTACAATTTTCCATAATTAGCTTGATTGTTCACGTCTTTCAAATCGGACCTAGTCAGAAAACTTGACCTAAGGTTAACACTCTGAATTATTCCCGAATCTTGATCATGTTTTCAGTAAGTATGCTTGTACATGTGTACTTTGGTATTTTGTAAATACTACATATGTAGAAATAAATAAACAAAACACTCAAAACATGGTACATATGAATTTGTTGCTCATGATAGTTATTTTAAAAATGGGTTTTTTTGAAGAATAAAGTATTTTTCTTTATATAAAACAACCCAAATATTTTTCTTCAGAACAGCATCATGAAATTTACTCAATGATATTAAATAATGTTGACTTTATTTATAGTTGACTGTGATTTATTAAGTTTAATTATTCCTGTGTGCCAATATGTCTGTTACCGTGTTTAGATTATTGATTTAGGGTGAAATTTGCACTTGTCTGCCGTCATGATTACACCTATAGTAACCCTGTGCCATATGTTGATTATGTTAATGTATATTTGTAACGACACGCAACGATAAAAGGAATCTATTTTCTCTATGAATAGTTTGGTTATATTTACGCTATGCCACACACAAATTCAGTGGGGGTTTCATAATCTACAAATCCATTTATTCTGCCATAAATTATTAGATCAGAAATTTATTACGTTGTGTGCTCCGACTGTTTTGACATAAACAGATTATGATATCCTTCTCGTGTGTCCCTGGGTCACTATTGTATACCTTGGTCTCCTGTGTTGTCCTTGGGTCTCCATTGCATACCTGGGTCTCCTGTGTTGTCCCTGGGTCTCCTATTGTGTCCCCAGGTCACTATTGCATACCTGGGTCTCCTGTGTTGTCCTTGGGTCTCCTATTGTGTCCCTGGGTCTCCTGTATTGTCCTTGGGTCTCCTATTGTGTCCCTGGGTCACTATTGCATACCTGGGTCTCCTGTGTTGTCCTTGGGTCTCCTATTGTGTCCCTGGGTCACTATTGCATACCTGGGTCTCCTGTGTTGTCCTTGGGTCTCCTATTGTGTCCCTGGGTCACTATTGCATACCTGGGTCTCTTGTGTTGTCCTTGGGTATCCTGTGTTGTCCTTGGGTCTCCTATTGTGTCCCTGGGTCACTATTGCATACCTGGGTCTCCTGTGTTGTCCTTGGGTCTCCTATTGTGTCCCTGGGTCACTATTGCATACCTGGGTCTCCTGTGTTGTCCTTGGGTCTCCTATTGTGTCCCTGGGTCACTATTGCATACCTGGGTCTCTTGTGTTGTCCTTGGGTCTCCTGTGTTGTCCTTGGGTCTCCTATTGTGTCCCTGGGTCACTATTGCATACCTGGGTCTCCTGTGTTGTCCTTGGGTCTCCTATTGTGTCCCTGGGTCACTATTGCATACCTGGGTCTCCTGTGTTGTCCTTGGGTCTCCTATTGTGTCCCTGGGTCACTATTGCATACCTGGGTCTCTTGTGTTGTCCTTGGGTCTCCTGTGTTGTCCTTGGGTCTCCTATTGTGTCCCTGGGTCACTATTGTATCCCTGGGTCGCTATTGCATACCTGGGTCTCCTGTGTTGTCCTTGGGTTTTCTATTGTGTCCCCGGGTCTCTTATTGTTTCGCTTGACCTGCTATGTTGTCCCTGGGCCTCCTGTGTTGTCCTTGGGTCACCTATTCTGTCCCTGGGTCTCTTATTGTGTCACTTGGCCTCCTGTGTTGTCCCTGGGTCCTCTGTGTGGTCCATGGATCTCCTGTGTTGTCCCTGGGTCCTCTGTGTTGTCCCTGGGTCTTCTGGGTTGTCCCTGGGCCTCCTGTGTTGTCCCTGGGCCTCCTGTGTTGTCCCTGGGTCCTCTGTGTGGTCCATGGATCTCCTGTGTTGTCCCTGGACCTCCTGTGTTGTCCCTGGGTCCTCTGTGTTGTCCCTGGGTCTTCTGGGTTGTCCCTGGGCCTCCTGTATTGTCCCTGGGTCTCCTGTGTTGTCCCTGGGTCTCCTGTGTTGTCCTTGGGTCTCCTGTGTTGTCCCTGGGTCTCCTGTGTTGTCCCTGGGTCCTCTGTGTTGTCCCTGGGTCTTCTGTGTTGTCCCTGGGTCTTCTGTGTTGTCCCTGGGCCTCCTGTGATGTCCCTGGGTCTCCTGTGTTGTCCCTGGGCCTCCTGTGTTGTCCCTGGGTCCTCTGTGTTGTCCCTGGGTCTTCTGGGTTGTCCCTGGGCCTCCTGTATTGTCCCTGGGTCTCCTGTGTTGTCCCTGGGTCCTCTGTGTTGTCCCTGGGTCTCCTGTGTTGTCCCTGGGTCTCCTGTGTTGTCCCTGGGCCTCCTTCGTTGTCCCTGTGCCTCCTGTGTTGTCCCTGGGTCTCCTGTGTTGTCCCTGGGCCTCCTTCGTTGTCCCTGTGCCTCCTGTGTTGTCCCTGGGTCTCCTGTGTTGTCCCTGTGCCTCCTTTGTTGTCCCTGTGCCTCCTTTGTTGTCCCTGGGCCTCCTGTGTTGTCCCTGGGTCTTCTGTGTTGTCCCTGGGCCTCCTGTTTGTCCCTGGGTCTCCTGTTTGTCCCTGGGTCCTCTGTGTTGTTCCTGGGTCTCCTGTTTGTCCCTGGGTCACCTCTGTTGTCCCTGGGTCCTCTGTGTTGTCCCTGGGTCTCCTGTTTGTCCCTCGGTCTTCTCTGTTGTCCCTGGGTCTTCTCTGTTGTCCCTGGGTCTCCTGTTTGTCCCTGGGTCTCCTGTTTGTCCCAGGGTCTTCTCTGTTGTCCCTGGGTCTTCTCTGTTGTTCCTGGGTCCTCTGTGTTGTCCCTGGGTCTCCTGTTTGTCCCTAGGTCTTCTCTGTTGTCCCTGGGTCTACTGTGTTGTCCCTGGGCCTCCTTTTTTGTCCCTGGGTCTCCTGTGTTGTCCTTGGGTCTCCTATTGTGTCCCTGGGTCCTCTGTGTTGTCTCTGGGTCTCAAATTGTGCCTACTGGTCTCCTGTAGTGTCACTGGCTCTCTTTTAGTCATTGAATTTAATTCAGTGAATGTTTGTAAGAGAGTTCATCCTTTTTAAATATCCCTCGTAATAATGGTTTTCCTGAATTCAGTCCTTTCTCGGATTGCTCTTCATGTCATGTGAAGTATGGTAGCAGTAGTAGTAGTAGTTGTTGTGTGTACTAGACCCATCATGTATCCTATGTAAGGCATACACACATACATAGTTAGGGCATGCTTGGAGCTACAACACTGTAGCGCTGGGACCTTACATCCAAATACTCAGTGTACATAGAAATGAAGGAGTTGGATGTGTCCGCAATGTGCATGTTATGTAGACTATTGGTAGGGTTCAGTGGATAGAAAAATCATTGGTATTGTGGGCATACCAGTAGTGACGATCACAAAAATGTCAAGTTATTTGCTTATTTTTTAAAGTAATTTTAGGTTGACAATGCTGATTGGTGGTTGTCAGAAGTATTGTGAAGACCTATCTTGATGGCATTGAGTTAAATACTAGAGCTGAGGTTGGCTGCTTTTATAGAGCTAGAATGTACGGTCAAGTTTAACCTTTGTATAGAAATGAAGTTATTTGTTTTTCGTTTATATGAGATTTATTATCCCCCCAGCATATAATGCGGGGGGATATAGCGATCAGCCAGTCTGTCTGTCCGTCCGTCTGTCCGTCCGTAATCATTTCCTTTTCCGGGGCAGAATTCGAAAACCATTCAGTGTATTTGATCGAAACTTGGCAAAGCTATCAGGCACATACTGAAGTGGTGCCTTTTGATATTTTGGGATTTTTCTAATTTTTATTTCATTAAATGTTTATGGAATGAAGTTGGACATAGACTCAATTGGGGATGGGGTTCGTTTCCGGGGCAGAATTCGAAAACCATTCAGTGTATTTGATAAAAACTTGGCAAATCTATCAGGCACATACTGAAGTGGTGCCTTTTGATATTTTGGGATTTTTCTCATATATATTTTTTTATATTTTTATGGAATGAAGTTGGACATAGACTCAATTGGGAATGGGGTTCGTTTCTGGGGCAAAATTTGAAAACCATAACCATTTGGGACCATAACGTGTTAAAATGGGCGGGGGATATAGATGACTTCGTGACTGTACGCTTGTTTAGTCATTGTTTCTTGTAATTTGTCATTTGTTTGCATAAACAAAACCCACAGAATACAGAATAGCACATTTACTTGTGGTTACTTTACAGACAGCTGCCAGGGGATATGTCATCTTTCTGATGACTCATGTGGAATTTTGTTTTCAGTTTGATTCATCCTAGGAAAGCATCACCTTAATAAACGCTAAGATTTAACACTCAGTGAAAGTTGCCCTAAACTTACAAGGAAGTACTTACGTTGTACACTACTGGAACTGCCAAATGAGGTCTACCTCTACCTGCTTTACATAGTTTGCAAACTGTTATTTGGATGAGTGTTATTCTTGATCTGTTTAACTGAAAGCTTTATCACATGTACTGAATTGTTTCATGAAAATATTGCGTTTGTGTAGTACCGGTAATTGAATTGTGTGAACTTTCTTTCAATAGTGCTTCGAATATGGTTGCTGATGACACGAGTGCTGCAAAATATTGTTGCATTTATTAACTTAATAAAGACTGAAGTTTTCATGGCTACTGTTTGTCATAAGATTGTTAGTTAGCCTTGTTTATATTTTAGGGTATGTAAAATACATAATGCTTTATGTTTCATTTGTGATTATTCTTTCATCTAAATTTATTTTCAAATGTTGAAGTCCTGACAAAATTGTGAAATTTGAGTGTTTGCTATTTGTATGACTTTGTTTCCACATCACACATATCACTGGGACCACATGTGCTGTAATGTGTGATAATCTGCTGATCTTGTTGATTTCACCATATCAGTTGTCAATTTCACTCCACTGCCTGTCAACTGTGTTGACAACATGAGGAGACATTTAATCCAATCTTGTAATATAGTACATCTTAGTATCCAATGTTCGTTGTGTTGCTGGGTTTACAGTGAACATGTTGAGACTATATATACTCCAGACATTAAGATAATGCAGGTCCAATGCATCAGTTCCCTGTGTGGATGACAGTCAGTGCAATTATTTAAATGATCTTTAATGAGATTTTTCTCAATGTTGATTATTCACTTGATATCAAACATGTCAAGTATTTCATCTTGAATGGTCTACAGTCTATTTTGGATAGGACAAAGTTAAGCAGTTCAAAACATAATTTATTTCACACATTTTCAATGAAGTATCCAACCAAACTAGTTTTTGTGTAAACTGGAGTGGCTGGTCAATCTTGGCAACCTGGTTATTTGCATGGCCTCACACCTGCCAGCATGGAGAGTGCTGACAATATCACCCCTTAGTTTGTCTGGCCTGGACTGTATTATGTCGCTGATGGAATACTGCTGACTGCAGCTTTAACAACATTCACCACCCACTCTAGCAGATTAATGTTAAGTCATTGGTCGAAATAGCAGCAAAAGCAATCATTTGAGAACGTTCATGCAGTACCTGTTCATTGAAGACCAATAGGGATTTGTATGTGTGTGTCGGGTGTGTATAGCAATACTTATGTCAAAAGAGACATCAAATGGATCTGGAGGCTTGGTAGTGGCAAGGTTTGGATAGTACCAGATAGGTGACTATCTTGGAAGACCACAACAGTCTACTGCATCAGACACAGCAGGGAATCTGTGTGAATCCTAGCACATGTATCTGTGAGTGTATAACTTGTTGCACTGACCATACAATAGGCTTGTATATATAGGGATGTTGTGCCTTTCAGAGAATGAACGTATATTAGCAAGTTAATACTTGTTATAAGCAATATCAAGTGATTTGGTAAGTTCCAGGGGACTTTGTGCTATCCAAACCTGACTGTATTAACTATCATCACAGGGTCACGGAAACGTGGGAAATTTGTTGGAGTGGTTGTCAACTTTTAGGACTTGGTCAGCATATGTTGTATGTTATATTTTGTTTGAAATATGTGGATTGTGCGAAAGGTGCAAATTATCCCAACCAGTTTTATTTGTTATAACATTTTTGTCACCAATATAACATGATATCTGCATATCCAATGAAATATTCTCAATATACATGTGATCATGCTCGAAATGGCATTATGATGATCTGTTTGTCTCACTGAGTTATGATATGTGTTAATCATTTACATTTCTTTTTTTGTGATCTGTGATCTACACAGAGATTGAAAGAATAGGATTGTCTCATTAACAATGTTGGAATCAAGCTATGCAGATGACATCAATTTTGATATTTGGGGGGAAACGTTGGGTGATGACAACCTTTTTACACATTTGTGGGATGTACCATTTGGCTGGATTTTTTAAAATATTGTACATAATTTATATTGTATATTTCCCATGTGATATTCAACCTTTACTGGATGCATGCAGGAACAGCACAATCATCATTACTAAACGAAACAGTTAGCGGCCAATACTTATGTCTGATTGGATTATGTGAGAATAAGATCATTTGAATGAAGGTAGCGCATGCTTGGATGAGCCAGCAGTTCCTGTTTTCTGATTGGTCTGTTATGTGTTGAATGTTGCCACTGACTGTTGACTGTTACAGTGTAACATTATAAAGTTCTATTTTGTGTACTGTGACTGGGGATGGGATGTTCCATGTAGTATCAAGCTGAGGGGAGACAGGTTGTAATATTTGTCCCCATATTTGGCCTGTACTCTTTGATAATAAATTCTTCAATTTGGTGATGAGAAACTTAAACTGTATTCTGTATTGTTTGTTGTGTTGAAGGAAAGGGGAACAGTGTTACTCAGGCATGTCTGTTGAATGCTCGATGGCTTTATTGTGAAGTTAGCATAGTGTATGTGTAGCTCTGAAGTGTTGAGGTGTTTATCTTGGATATTTGGACTGCCTCCATGGTCTAGTTGTAGAGCATCCGCCCAGAGAGCGGAAGGTCTGGGGTTTGATCTCCGGACGTGTCATTCCAAAAGACGTTTAGGGATGGTACTTGTTACCCTGCCTGGCGCTCTGTATTAGGGGGCTGAAACAAGGACTGGTCAGCTTGGAGTCAGTATACTGTGTCTGAGTGGGGAATTCATGTTAAACTGAATGGTATCTCAGTGGTCTAGTACTATAAAATCGACATTAGTCCGGACTAGTACAAGCAGACACACACACGTCGCTATATAAGTGCAACAATCTTGGATGCGCTGCTAAGCCCCATTTCATTTCACCTCATCTTGGTTATTTAGCAATATCGGTAAGTACTCAAATATTTCAAATTCAGCCTCAACTAACAAAAAAGGAAACACTGGCATATATATACTCGCCTCTTTATGGACCGAAGACCTCTGAGTGGTCGTTTCTCCTATCACGTCTTATCAAAAGACATAAGATAGTACTTGTTGTTACTCTGCCTGTCTCTAGGCATTAAGGGGATAAAGGTGAGGTTAAATAGGGTTTAACGTCGCGTCCAAGATAATTGCACTTATATAGCGACGTGCATGCACATATGTGTGTGTGGCTGCTTGTACTAGTCAGGACTGATGCTGATTCAGTGCTAGCCCAATGAGATACCATGCTGCACTTTAACATGACTACTCTACTCGGACACTGTATACTGACTCTGAGCTGACCAGTCCTTGTTTTAGCCCCTTAATGCCGAGGGCCAGACAGGGTAACAACAAGTACCATCTTTTAACGTCTTTTCGTATGATGCGACCGGGGATCGAACCTTCCACTCTCCGGGCTGACGCTCTACTACTAAGGTATCTATCCTAAGGGGATAAAACAAGGTTGTTTTACTTTGCCTGAAAGGGGTATCCATGTTGTACTGCAGCATGATATCTTGGGGGCCAGCACTGGACTAGAACAAACACATCTTGAATGCTAAAGCATCTCAACCCACCTTTATGGACTGAAAGTTGAAAGCATTAGCAGTACAAACTAGACTATATACTTACTATATCAACCACTGGTTGGTTTGACCCAGACTCCATCAGTTACAGGCCACCATGGTGTTGCTTGAATAATGGTGACTGCAGTGTGTGTTTACCAACTTTCACTCCTCAATGAACCAAGTTCTACATGAGATTGTGCTACGGTTTGTTGCTTAACGCCGCACTCCGCAATATTCCAGCTATATTACAGTTGTCTGTAAATAATCGAGTCTGGACCAGACAATCCAGTGATTGATATGAGCATCAATCCGAGCCTGATCACTTGATCCTGTTTGTCGCCTCTTACAACAAGCATAGTCGCCTTTTACGGCAAGTATGGGTTGCTGAAGACCTATTCTACCCCTGATCTTCAAGGGTCTTCTTGTTAATGCCACACTAGTGTTCAGCTATCAGCTATATGACAGCATATCTGGACCAGACAATCCAGTGATTGATATGAGCAATGATTCACGCCAGTGGGTGATAATGACCAAAAACAATAAGTCACCTCTTTACAACCATAATATGTTGTGGGGACATTTTCTAACTGGAATACCCTCAAGGTTCTCTCGACATACTACCTGGCAGGTGAAAACCGTCTTATGTAAGATGAATGCTTTCTGTAAAGGCATTTAGAAATAAGATTCAAGGATAACAAGCACAAAAGTTTTTTCAAACAACCATAACATCATATTAGAATACAATACATGAAAAGGTTTCATGGAATGGCAAATGGGATTCTCTTCAATCACAGAAATGCTTTTATTGATATCAAAGAATGACAATTACAGTGATAAATATTAAACCTTGTATATCCAGTAGAAATATTATAATCATGGCAAACTCTGATGTAAATTCAGAAAAGTTATGTATACCAGAAAAATCAATGCATGACAAAGTCTCACATTTTGAAGTAAAACCTGGTTTGTTTGGAAAAGAGGTTCCCTGTGACCTATTTACTATGCTACTTTGGGCAAGAATCACCAATGCTGAGATGTAGTAATTCAATATCAACACTGGAATATGGAATAAAAACATCTTACCTGAGAAATTAGTCAAATCACATTGGAGTATGATAAATATGGCTACCTTCAAAGATCTATATCTAAATACTACTGCCTCCAAGTAGGAATGTGCTGTAGATAAGTTAGCATATATACTCAGATGTGTTGCAGTAATCGAAAAACAAATAATTCCAATTCCAATTTTGCATTTTGTACAAAGGGATAGGACCAGTTAGCAATTTCCATCTAAAACATCAAACATTCTCTTTTCCATTGAAATCCAGACCTTGTATGTTTCATTCGTATGAAAGATCTTGGACTGCACTGTAGAAAACCTATGTTCAGTGAGTCAATCTCCAGTAAATGGCAGTTTTGGTATCCCTGTTGTAAACTTGCTCAGCAACTAGTAAAAGGGAGGTCACTCCACAACATCTAGTTAAAGGGAGACAACTGGGTATGGAAAACGTTGCCTCTGTATGTTTGTCACAGAAAGCATCAGATATGATTTATGTTTTTTCTCAAAGTTTGTGAGGTGGTCTTGAGTCAGTGAGTTGGGTTGAACATCACTTTGAACTGTGTTTCAGTTATATCATGACATCTTGATGCGGAGAAAGACCAAATGATGCAGGTCTTAAATATTTACCACTTTGGTGAAACCCACAAACAGGGGTATGTTGGTGGAAAACCTAGAAACAATCAGGGCAAATCTAGCCTGAAATAACAACAGAGATCTCTTGCAGAGCTTCAATACTGTGGCACAGTTTTGACTCAGGTCAGGCATTAGATATTATCCTGAACGCTCTTGAATGCGATTTAGTACTACCTGTACCCATAAAAAAGGTATTCAAGACATAAACTCCACTGGAACTGTAATGATAGGTCATTTCATCCATCTCCACAGCAGACATAGCTTAACCTTGTTAACAGCTGTATACAGTATTAGTGACAACTAACAATTGATTACAGGTTCAAATTTAGATGTTGATCTGCTTGGTATCTGTTCAGGAGACAGATCAGTTAAAGTGTGTCAGGAGACAGAACAGGTAACATGTGTCTCATGACTGACCCAGAATACCGGGATCTAGTCCAGCATTGAGGAGTGCGGGTTATGAATCCAGAGCACTTATTATTTCCTCTTTAGTGAATACTCGAACTTCCTCTGAAAACAACTTTTCACGAATTTCCTCCAACTCTGGGTCTTCTGGGGGAACCACAGTTTCTGGACGTACAAAATCTTTAGGTTTACAGAGGTGATCAGTTTCACCAGCACTCAGCTGTGCATTCTGGGATTCTTGACGCGTAATTGGTGCACTCCCTGGTCGCACTTTTGGCACTCGTCTTAACTGTTCCAATGTTGGGTCTGCAGCACTGATGTTGACCTTTGACCTCTCCTTGACCTTGATAAGAGTCTGGAATGAACGCATAATTAACTTACATCTTTGGCACATCTTTGAGTAAGTGAGTGAATTTGGTTCTGCATTATTTCAGTTATATCATGGCATGAAACATGACCTAGAAATATTATCAGAACAAATCTGGGATGATCATAGATTTAAGGCACACCTAAGGGATGCAACTTTGCACTGTGAATTGCGGCAGCTTAGAAAACTGGTCCACCCATGCCTCATCTATGAACCGTGGAATGGAAATGAGTGAGTGAGTATGGTTTTGTGCTACTTTCAGCAATATTCCAGCATTGCCATGGTGGAGGACACCAGACATAAATTCCCACATTGTACCCCCTCTTGACTCAAGTTTGTACAAAATCATAACACATCGACAGTTACTTGTCCTCTACCATCTAGTGAGTGAGTGAGTGAGTGAGTGAGTGAGAGAGAGAGAGTGTGAGTGAGTGAGTGAGAGAGAGAGAGTGAGTGAGTGAGTGAGTGAGAGAGGAGAGAGTGAGTGAGTGAGTGCAGTATGGTTTTATGCTGCTTTTAGCAATATTCCAGCAATATCAATCGGGTGACACCAGAAATAGGTTCACAAATCGTACCCATGTGGGGAATCGAACCTGATGAGCAAACATTTTAACCACTAGACTACCCCATTGCCCTGAAAACAAGATAATAGAAGACAGGTTTTACCAGATGATCATGTTCAAGAGAGTTGAGTAGCGATGATCCTGTGGATGTACCTACCCTCATGGTCTCCTTGGCTGACTGCACTCTCTGATAGTTCTCCTTCTCCGACACAGCCTTCTCATCAAACAGCTCCCCACATTTCTTGTTGTACTGGCGCCTGGAAGTCACAACAAATCATATCATTAGGAGGGTTATAAAGGATTTGTTTAATTTCATCTTCATGCGCAATAACATGCTTGAAGCGTTTAAAAGGTTACGCTGAGGGGGTATAGGTTTTACGTATAAAGAGAAAGTGGGTTACAGGCAATACTGGTTAGAAGCCCCTACCTGGTATTACGGTCTTACACAAACTATACAGATAATAGGCCTCATGAAAGGGATACCTTTTGAGAAGAATTTAAAAGTGTCCAGTAGAGAGGACACATTTTGAGTTCAAGGGGAAGCTTGTTCCACTCAGCTGCTACGGGAGCACCTGTCACAAATTTGAGATGTTATAAAATTTGTTTAAGTACAAAAATGAAACTTCTTAAGTGTTTCTGCCAGCTATACCTGAGTTCTGTGTTCTGTCTCATGAGTTCCTGCAGCTGTTGTCTGTACTTGTCATCCACCGCCTGCACCTTGTCCTGAAACTGCTCCTCGTACTCCAGCAGACGCACTTTCTGAAAGGAAGAGAGGTTAGCATAGTTAATGTACATTTCATGTCCCGAGACTTGCACTTGGGTGTGTGCCCACACTGGCCAAACCAGTACCAGCACAAAAGCAGATGTAGTGTTGTTTGTTTGACTCACTGAGTCTGTGAGCAGACGTGTGATGCTGTGTGTTTGACTCACTGTGTCTGTGAGCTGACGTGTAGTCCTGTGTGTTTGACTCACTGGGTCTGTGAGCAGATGTGTAATGCTGTGTTTGACTCACTGTGTCTGTGAGCTGACGTGTAGTCCTGTGTGTTTGACTCACTGGGTCTGTGAGCAGACATTTAATGCTGTGTTTGACTCACTGTGTCTGTGAGCTGACGTGTAGTCCTGTGTGTTTGACTCACTGGGTCTGTGAGCAGATGTGTAATGCTGCGTTTGACTCACTGTGTCTGTGAGCAGACATGTAGTGCTGTGTGTTTGACTCACTGTATCTGTAAGCAGGTGTGTAGTGCTGTGTGTTTGACTGACTGTGTCTGTGAGGAGTCGTGTAGTTCTGTGTGTTTGACTGACTGTGTCTGTGAGGAGACATGTAGTGCTGTGTGTTTGACTGACTGCGTCTGTGAGGGGACATGTAGTGCTGTGTGTTTGACTGACTGTGTCTGTGAGGAGACATGTAGTGCTGTGTGTTTGACTCACTGGGTCTGTGAGCTGGTGTGTAGTTCTGTGTGTTTGACTCACTGTATCTGTAAGCAGGTGTGTAGTGCTGTGTGTTTGACTGACTGTGTCTGTGAGCAGACATGTAGTGCTGTGTGTTTGACTGACTGTGTCTGTGAGGAGACATGTAGTGCTGTGTGTTTGACTCACTGGGTCTGTGAGCAGACATGTAGTGCTGTGTGTTTGACTCACTGTATCTGTAAGCAGGTGTGTAGTGCTGTGTGTTTGACTGACTGTGTCTGTGAGGAGACATGTAGTTCTGTGTGTTTGACTCACTGTATCTGTAAGCAGGTGTGTAGTGCTGTGTGTTTGACTGACTGTGTCTGTGAGGAGACGTGTAGTTCTGTGTGTTTGACTGACTGTGTCTGTGAGGAGACATGTAGTGCTGTGTGTTTGACTGACTGTGTCTGTGAGGAGAGGTGTAGTGCTGTGTGTTTGACTGACTGTGTCTGTGGGTGAGTGAGTGAGTGAGTATGGTTTTACGCCGCTTTTAGCAATATTCCAGCAACATCACGGCAGGGGACACCAGAAATGGGCTTCACACATTGTACCCATGCCGGGAATCGAACCCGGGTCTTCAGCGTGACGAGCGAACGCTTTAACCACTAGGCTACCCGACCGCCCCTGACTGTGTCTGTGAGGAGACATGTAGAGCTGTGTGTTTGACTCACCGTGTCTGTGAGCAGACGTGTAGTGCTGGTCAGTTGTTGGCAGGTTTCATTGTAGCGAGTGGTCAGTTGTTCCAGGTCAGCTTTTGTCTCCTGCGGCAACAGAAATACCCTTGAACACTTGCAACATCATCACATCATGTTACAGTCAACGCAAGATATCAGGCAAATAAATGAACAAATTATTACTCCAAGAATACATTAATAAAAAATTCATATTTTGATAAATTCATATCCAGAGATGACATTATTAATCAAATAAAAATATATGTAGCTCAATCTAAAGCTTAAAATTATATAAGGAATTTGAAGTAAGTAATTTCCTAGTAAAATCTAGATAATTTTTTATGTTTGTATACTTATACATTATATACTGATGAACTTACTGCTTGTTCTTGACAGAGAAAGAGCTGTGTGGTGAGGTGAGGTGAAATGGGGTTTAACGTTGCATTCAAGATTATTGCACTTATATAGGATGCCGATTTTATTGTGCTAGCCCACTGAGATACCATGCCGCAGTTTAACATGAATACCCCACTGAGACACAGTATACTGACTCCTAACAGACCAGTTCTTGTTTTAGCCCATTAGTGCCGAGCACCAGTCAGGGTAAGAACAAGTACCATCTTTTAACGACTTTTGGTATTGAACCCCGGACCTTCAGCTCCCCGGGGGAACCCTCTTCCACTAGATCATGGAATCGGTCGGAAGAGCCGTGTTAGGTCTTGCTGAAAAAGAATTTCTGGTAGAGTGGCTAACCCTAGCTCCCACGTGACCACAAAAGGGGTGATGTCACTGATCAGCACATTAGTACTAATAGCAGAGCATCTGAAGACATCATGGGGAGGCATCTCTGGGACAGGTGGGCCACTTCAGATGAGTAATGCAGGATAAGTATACAAATATTAAAAATATCTAGATTTTTCTAGATTTTTTAACTTATTCTGCATTACTCCTTAATGCATCGTTATCAGATGGCACAGTGGAGGTCATACCTTCAGATGTGATCTTCAATAAACTCTCCATAGACTGCAACCAATCAGCAGCACTGATGTCTGGCATCAAGTGACCAATCCTGTACTATAAAACAAGAGAGTGAGGTATGCGTGATGTCCAGATATCATTGCATTAATAAAAATTAAGCGTAGATAAAGCCTAGAACTGACGAATCAAGCCAATGCGTGTAGCGTGTAGCATGTACCCTTCTAGTCTGGGGTGACACACTCTGGAGAGGTCAAAAGGACAGCTCCGGACATGTGGAAGCGTTAGTGGTGCCTTGGGGCAGTGACTTGGGCAACCACCAAAGAGCCAAAGCTGTGGACACCTTCCCAGGCGACATCTTGCAGGGTATTGGCTGGTGAAGACTGTGTCCGTTCACCAGAAGCAGACCTCCATAATGGCTCAGATGGAGCAGTTGCTGTGAAGAGCCATGGTAAAGGTGACCGCCCGGATCTCATGCGAGTTGTTGGCTCTAGGAGGGCCCAGTCCCCCAGGAAGTTCTGGCTGGTGGCAAACAGGTCAATGTTGGGGCGGCTGAGGTGTCGACAGACAACATCAGAGGTGTCGACAGACAAGGTCGAAGGCGTCTCGGTGGAGTTTCCACTCTCTGGGAGCTTCTTTGTCTGGTATGGAGAGGGCGTCCGCAAGGATGTTGCGGCAGCCTGGAATGTGTTGGACACACAACTGAAACTCCACTTGATCGACTAGCTGGATGAACCAAAACGTCTGCATTAACAGGGAGGAAGAGTGGATGAGTGAGTGATTGCGTAGACATCATACTACGGTGATGTTGTCCGTGGATGAGGAGAGAGCCAGGATGAGAGCCCCTTGTTCCAGGTTATTGATGTGCCCCTGGTGCTGAGTGGCAGACCACTGCACCAAGGCGACTTGGCCCTCCAAATGAGCCTTGAAGAGGTGCTTAGACGAACAGATGTAATGAGGTCATGAGCTCTGTCTAAGAATTTCACCTCTACCATCCACCACTGGAGGTGTGGTTTGAGGTGGTCCGGGAGGACGATGGAGACGGACTGATCCTGGCGCCTGATGTAGGGAGCAAAGAACATTTGTATAGTGCGCAGTTGAAGTCCTCTGCTGGAGGTCAGGTCCAGAGCTGACATGAGTAGACCCGGAAGCACCAGCCACTGGCAAAGGGTATGGGGTTGCTGAAGTGCTGGGAGGAGGTGATGTTGAATTCTGTGCCATCTGTCCCTGGGTACAGAGAGGAGGTCTCGGTTGGTCTGGAAGAGGCCTCTGAAGAATTGGAGGGTGGACAAAGGTGTGAGCTCTGATTTCTGCACGTTGATGATCCATCCTAAGGGATGGAGCGGGCGTCATGTGAATATGTACTATTGCAGATGACCGTGGCCATGTCCTGGTGATTCAGAAGGCAATCGTCTATGTATGTCTCGAATTGGGACAGATGGCAGAAGGTGGCTATCAGCTTTGTGATGCGTGTAAATAGCCACGGGGCCGAGAAAATTCCAAATCGGAGCACTGCTCATTGATAATGGATTCCATTGAAGCTGAAATGGAGGAATTTCCTGTCTCTGGGATGGATTGGCAAATGTACCGTTTATTGCCATTTATCGCCGTCTATAAAGCGACCCAACTTATAAGTTGAGCCCCCTGTAAAAGCCTTCGAAAATCGATGCTCATTTATATACCCCGTCTATAAAGCAAATCGGAATGAAGCATGTCACCAGTGCATACACGATCCCTTCATTTGCAATCAAAATGTGTTTGTTTTTTTAATGGAACAATTTGAGCAATCACCGTAGATGCTCCGGCGCTCACTATAGCAAAAACTTTATGTTGACATATAATAGGCAAACTACAACAAATTCAATGAGTCAATGTATGACATTTATGATATATATACATTCTCTATTCACTAAAGTTCATTTCAAGGCGTCAATAGCGGTAATATGACCGTGGTTATACCGTGTAAATAACGGTGACTTGTGCAATCTTCACTTCCCATACAATCTCGCCGAAATGAATGGAAAAAATATTGAATGAAATTTTGAATAAAATTAATAAAATAGATTACAAACGTAAGTCCAGATATATATAATGAACACTTTTTATAACCAGACAGTGTAACTACATGATTAGTTTGCGTACTTAAGTTCAGTACTGATTTGTTGACATGATATTTCCGGTGTTACATGCTCACAGTAATGTCTTTGTGTTGGGGGCTACTGTTAGGTGTTACGGGGTAGGTGTCTACAAAAGGTGACGATGTCAGAGGCGGGTCGTCTCTCAGTGTGAGTTGATACCCGTGGCACAGGATCTCCTCACCCTCCATGGGAACAGTCATGGCACGGCTGGTGGGTTCCAGAATATTTTCCCTTGACACGGCTCTAGCCACAAAAGGCCGAGGGGTGATGTCCGCATGGCTTAGGGAGACTCGAACTGAACGTTCCTCAGGTGTAGGTATGCACTAATTGGCTTGTTAATCAGGCTAAATAACCATGGGGCTGTGGAAATGTCAAATGGGCCGGCACTGGAAAAAGAACCTGAGGAACTTCCTGCAACTGGGGTGGATGGGTACATGAAGATAAACATCCTGGAGGTCGAGACTGATCAGGGAATCGTTGGCATTGCTTTTGGTCCTGATCAGTCCCAACCTAGTCAGACGAAAGGAGGGAGGACGGTCCAGATAACGTGTGTTGAAGATGGTTGGACTGTGGATCATCCAGAATTTGGATGAATCTTTTTGGGGCACCAAGAACACTGGAAAGTAGAATCCTGGATGCACCACTGGATCGTGAACAATCGACCGTCTACTTGAGCAGCAGAAGCTGAATGCTCTGGAGTAAGAGCTGAGCCTGTGGGGGTCCACAATGGGGCAAGAGGTTAATGGCGAAGTCATGAAGGGAGTGAGAGCGGCAGAACTTGCACAGCAACAACGTGGAACAGGGATCCCTGGCTTATTTATTGCCCTTGCATTGTGACGTCGCCACTTCCAGTCCCATGGTAGCTGTGGGAGGAAGTGAGCCATACAACCAGTGGGTACAACAATTTGTGTAGCCAGGACCTCTCACAGCTCTGTCTTCCAAGTCAAAAGAACAGCAGTAGTAATGCAGCATAAGATTAAAACGTATACTAGATTCTGATTGGTCAATCAGAGGTTTCAAATTGCAACAACAACATTTAATTGAAACAGCTAATTTGATGTCCACAACATCACAGACGCTAATATTTATAGAAAAGTACTTCCTCTCAAGTCATTTTTAATAGACTTTTTAAAACAATGATATGTACAAATATATGTTACAAGATGCAGAGTTGAACTTACTACACCATTCATAGTAAGTGTACATTTTGGTCATTCAGTCGAAATTCAGTGAGGTTTATTGTACAGGTGACCTATCTCTACACTGAAAACACAGCATGTTACTGTTTCTAGATGTACCAAGATGAATGCTCAGTCTCGTGTCCCCGGGAACCCCTCAGCCCTGCAGTACCTCAAGTTCCGCCATTGTTTTCTTCAGTCTCTCGATGTCTGCTGCAGCATTGGAGAATCTCCTCACCAGCGCCTACACAAGTAAACAACACAATCTGTGTGTATTCAGTTGAATAAATACTTTCTGGTCTGATTGTTTTTCTTCAATTGATAAATTGACCTTATATATGTGAGGAAATAGTTTCCATAGCATTTGCATTTAGAGTATATCAGCTGACCTCCAAACATCATGACAAGATTGATTATGTTTTTTCATTTTATTCAATACATGTTTTCAATTTTGAAACCTGGATGAATTAATGCTGATGCTTTGTTAAATTTGAACTCACTCACTCACTGACTGAAACCTGGCTGTTGCAGGTATTTACAGAGAAGTATGTCTATGTGTTATTGTCACACCAAACTGTCATGTTTTCACATAGAGTGTGTTAGTAGCTCATGCGTCACAACACACTGAGAAGTCGAATCACTGTTCTGGAATGTCAACTCTGTTGATACTTTCCTACTTTCCTCTATGTTATCACATAGAGTGTGTTAGTAGCTCATGCGTCACACTGAGAAGTCCAATCACTGTTCTGGAATGTCAACTCTGTTGATACTTTCCTACTTTCCTCTATGTTATCACATAGAGTGTGTTAGTAGCTCATGCGTCACACTGAGAAGTCCAATCACTGTTCTGGAATGTCAACTCTGTTGATACTTTCCTACTTTCCACTAACTTGAACACACATTTACAGCACTAAGGCAGGCACACCTCATAAACAACATTTATACGAGGTAGCATAATTAAGGGTGCTTTCATTCCTTTTAGAAATGGCAAATTTCAAACTTAGCGAATTTTCTGATTTATTTTGCAATTTCAACACCACATAACGAATCCTTTTCATTTTTCATCCTTTGAACAATCACTAGTTTTCATTCATATTATATCGGGGATCACTGTCTGTGATCATAGGTATGTATTAAGTATAGAACGAATATAGATCAGCATTGAAGAGGACATGGACAATTAAAAATATAATTATAACAATGTTAAATTCATTTTAATAAGTGATCACACAATAACACAAACTGTGATGATGAATCTGACATTTTTGTTCTAGATAAAATTAACAGATTGTCATGTTGTAGAGTTTTTAAAATAATATGTTATGCATTATTATCATTATGATGGGAGTGTAAAATATTATTTCAATATTAGAAACTGCAATTTATCTATATGCTATCTTCATTATTTGAGAGCTCTACATATGTCTACAGTCTACACTGAACACAAACATCAGTCTAACCACAATTATATATCATCTGTCACATCTGTCACATATGTCATCTGTCATCTATCATCTGGCACATCTGTCACCTGTCACATCTGTCATCTGTCACATCTACCACCTGCCACATCTGTCATCTGACACATCTGTCATCTGACACATCTGTCATTTTTCACATCTGTCATCTGACACATCTGTCACCTGTCACATCTGTCATCTGACACATCTGTCATCTGTCACATCTGTCATCTGACACATCTGCCACCTATATCTGCCACTTTTTTCTGACACATCTGTCATCTGTCACCTCTGTCATCTAGCACATCTGTCATTTTTCACATCTGTCATCTGACACTTTTTTCTGACACATCTGTCATCTGATACATCTGCCACCTATATCTGTCACATCTGTCATCTGACACATCTGCCACCTATATCTGACACATCTGTCATCTGACACATCTGTTATCTGATACATCTGCCACCTATATCTGACACATCTGTTATCTGTCACATCTGTCATATGACTCATCTGTCATCTGTTATCTGTCAAATCTGTCATATGACTCATCTGTCACATCTGTCATCTGCCACACCTGTCATCTGACACATCTGTTATTTGTCACATCTGTCATTTGACTCATCTGTCATCTGTAACATCTGACACTTTTATCTGCCACATCTGTCATCTGTCACTTTTATCTGACGTATCTGTCATCTGTCACTTTTATCTGACATATCTGTCATCAGCCACTTTTATCTGACATATCTGTCATCTGCCACTTTTATCTGACACATCTGTCATCTGCCACTTTTATCTGACACATCTGTAATTTGTCACATCTGTCATCTGACACATCTGTTATCTGTAACATCTCTCATCTGTAACATCTGTCATCTGTAACATCTGTCACCAGACACATCTGTCACTTTTATCTGATACATCTGTCATCTGCCACTTTTATCTGCCACATCTGTCATATCTGTCATCTAACACATATGTCCTCTGTCACATCTGTCATCTGCCACACCTGTCATCTGACACATCTGTTATCTGTCACATCTGTCATTTGACTCATCTGTCATCTGTCATCTGCCACATTTATCTGTAACATCTGTCATCTGTCACCTGCCACTTTTATCTGACACATCTGTCACTTTTATCTGACACATCTGTCACTTTTATCTGACACATCTGCCACTTTTATCTGACACATCTGTCACTTTTATCTGACACATCTGCCACTTTTATCTGACACATCTGTCACTTTTATCTGACACATCTGCCACTTTTATCTGACACATCTGCCACTTTTATCTGACACATCTGTCACTTTTATCTGACACATCTGCCACTTTTATCTGACACATCTGCCACTTTTATCTGACACATCTGCCACCTGTCACATCTATCACCTGTCACATCAGTCATCTGACACATTTATCTGTTGCATCTGTAATCTGACACATCAGTCACATCAGTCATCTATTACATCTGTCATCTTCCACTTTTATCTGACAGATCTGTCATATCTGTCATCTTCCACTTATCTGACATCTGTCATATCTGTCATCTGTTACCTGTCACATCTGTTATCTGTCACCTGTCACATCTATCACCTGTCACTTCAGTCATCTGACACATTTATCTGACACATCTGCCACTTTTATCTGACACATCTGCCACTTTTATCTGACACATCTGCCACCTGTCACATCTATCACCTGTCACATCAGTCATCTGACACATTTATCTGTTGCATCTGTAATCTGACACATCAGTCACATCAGTCATCTATTACATCTGTCATCTTCCACTTTTATCTGACAGATCTGTCATATCTGTCATCTTCCACTTATCTGACATCTGTCATATCTGTCATCTGTTACCTGTCACATCTGTCACATCTGTCACCTGTCACATCTGTTATCTGTCACATCTGTCACCTGTCACATCTGTTATCTGTCACATCTGTTATCTGTCACATCTGTTATCTGTCACATCTGTCACCTGTCACATCTGTTACCTGTCACACCTGTCACCTGTCACATCTGTCACCTGTCACATCTGTCATCTGTCACATCTGTCACCTGTCACATCTGTTATCTGTCACACCTGTCACACCTGTCACATATGTCACCTGTCACATCTGTCATCTGACACATCTGTCACATCCTGTCATCTGTCACCTGTCACTTCAGTCATCTGACACATTTATCTGTTGCATCTGTAATCTGACACATCAGTCACATCAGTCATCTATTACATCTGTCATCTTCCACTTTTATCTGACAGATCTGTCATATCTGTCATCTTCCACTTATCTGACATCTGTCATATCTGTCATCTGTTACCTGTCACATCTGTCACATCTGTCACCTGTCACATCTGTTATCTGTCACATCTGTCACCTGTCACATCTGTTATCTGACACATCTGTCACATCCTGTCATCTGTCACATCTGTCCTCTGTCACATCTGTCATCTGACACATCTGTCACATCCTGTCATCTGTCACATCTGTTATCTGTCACATCTGTTATCTGTCACCTGTCACATCTGTCACCTGTCACATCTGTTATCTGTCACATCTGTCACTTGTCACATCTGTCACCTGTCACATGTTATCTGTCACATCTGTCACTTGTCACATCTGTTATCTGTCACATCTGTCACCTGTCACATCTGTCATCTGACACATCTGTCATCTGTCACATCTGTCATCTGACACATTTATCTGTTGCATCTGTCATCTGACACATCAGTCACATCTGTTATCTGACACATCCGTTATCTGTCACATCTGTCATCTGACACATCAGTCACATCTGTTATCTGACACATCAGTCACATCTGTCATCTGTCACATCCGTTATCTGTCACATCTGTTATCTGTCACATCTGTCATCTGACACATCAGTCACATCTGTTATCTGTCACATCTGTTATCTGTCACATCTGTCATCTGACACATCAGTCACATCTGTTATCTGTTATCTGTCACATCTGTCATCTGACACATCAGTCACATCTGTTATCTGTCACATCTGTTATCTGTCACATCTGTCATCTGACACATCAGTCACATCTGTTATCTGTCACATCTGTCATCTGACACATCAGTCACATCTGACACATCAGTCACATCTGTTATCTGTCACATCTGTCATCTGACACATCAGTCACATCTGTTATCTGTCACATCTGTCATCTGACACATCAGTCACATCTGACACATCAGTCACATCTGTTATCTGTCACATCTGTCATCTGACACATCAGTCACATCTGTTATCTGTCACATCTGTCATCTGTCACAGGCAAATAGACCTTAAGTGACTGGGACAGACAACAATGTAGCAGCCCTCACACTCCCCTAAAGACAGTCCCTCATCTTCCCAATGTAGACACAATGTCAACCTGATATACTTTCTTCATCAGTGAAACCCTAATGTTACAGACACCCACCCGTGTCTGTGACTAGGTATTAGTCTACACGTCAGGTCATTAGTTACAAGACACACGCTTTGTTCACAAACCGGAGACGTTGAGGTGGTAGACTTCAATGCCTACAAAATGAAGGTTTAATTAACAACGGCTTCCATGGGAACAGTCCCAAGATTCCGAGGTGATGAGTGGTGTTGTAACAACAGAACACATATTAAAGTCAGTGTAAAATAACAATGATATAGGTCTGAACAACCAATACTGGTCCTCAGGGAATTGTTGAATGGTTGGTGTGGGGTGGCTGCCTTTAAACATCTGTGCCAGCTGGTTCCACACATTTCCGATATGACCTAACTTTGTTTGTCTGCTAACTCAAACATTGTGATAAGTATCAATTAGTTCAAGTTTTCTCTAATTACACAAAGACAATATGTCTCAAATTCAATCATGGAACAAACTTCAAATTCTCCACTTGGACTAAACATGGGCAAACAAATAGGACACCAGATAATTTGCGTAGCCATTGAGTATAATACAGTGATCACATTGGGTATTGCTAGTTTTCTTTGGGTATTCAACATACTTGTACTCCCATGGGTCCAGTCTATAGGTCATTTGTAAACCACTGAATAGACCTTTCTGAAAACTAACTCTGCCTAGATTGCTGTTTCAGGTGACCTACTTTGCATATATTGCTCCAAGTGCAGAGCTGTAGACAAGCTGTATATTTGCATAAAATACCCAAATGGGAAGAAACATTTGGGTCAAAAATATTAGATTACTCACTAAAAATTGTTGATACCCACGAAAATTCAAACCCATGGTAAAAATACCCAAATAACCAAAAGCTTATCCAGGGCTCTGCAAGTGTGTCACATGTTGCATAGCTCACAACAGCAGTAGACATATCTAAGCTACAATATATATGTGATGCCTGTAAGACAATCTGTAAATAAAGATCTGAAAAGACATACAGGTATGCGAGCACAAGTGGCTAATTGGGTAATAATGCACAATAATGTTATGTCAATTGTAATGCCATTGAACTTTTCATATTTTAATATGCAGTTTATCTGGAGCTCTGGTTAAGGCCACACTAATTTTATTCCAGGTCTAATGAATAAAATGCCAAAATGAAAGAAAGAAAGTTAAAAAGACGACCATGTTCTTGCCCAAAGTGCCCAAGAACCAAGGTTATATTTTCTGACCAAGTAAAGAGTTTAGTGGTGGGCAGTGAGCAGGAAGACTCTCTGTGTCTGTGAATACCTTCTTCCCTGACATCATCTCCCCCAGGCCCTGACACCATCTCCCCCAGGCCCTGACACCATCTCCCCCTGGCCCTGACACCATCTCCCCCAGGTCCTGACCACATCTCCCCCAGGTCCTAACACCATCTCCCCCAGGCCCTGACACCATCTCCCCCAGGCCATGACAACATCTCCCCCAGGCCCTGACACCATCTCCCCCAGGTCCTGACACCATCTCCCCCAGGCCCTGACAACATCTCCCCCAGGCCCTGACACCATCTCCCCCAGGCCCTGACACCACATCTCCCCCAGGTCCTGACACCATCTCCCTCAGGCCCTGACACCATCTCCCCCAGGCCCTGACACCACATCTCCCCAAGGCCCTGACAACATCTCCCCCAGGCCCTGACACCATCTCCCCCAGGCCCTGACACCATCTCCCCCAGGCCCTGACACCATCTCCCCCAGGCCCTGACACCACATCTCCCCCAGGCCCTGACAACATCTCCCCCTGGCCCTGACACCATCTCCCCCAGGCCCTGACACCATCTCCCCCAGGCCCTGACAAGAGCTGGGAGCACCAGCCTTGGTTTGTGTACTCACATCCAACTCTTTCTTGTGCTCCTTCCTGAGTGCCTCAATCTGCTTGTGTGCATCCTTCATCATGGCTGCCCTATCTATGTTCTTCTCGTGGATCATCTTCGTTTCTGGAAAGTAGAAAGTTTAACAACTTCTTCCTTATTTTGTTTGAGATACTAGTTGTCATGTGTCTTTACTGACTTCCAATGGACATGAATATCATTGTGACCATGAACAGATGATTCAAATGATTCACCTTTGTCACACTTTACTGAATCATCAACTCTCCCATGACACCAAGCCCTCCTCAACTCTCCCATGACACCAAGCCCTCCTCAACTCTCCCATGACATCAAGCCCTCCTCAACTCTCTCATGACACCAAGTCCTCCTCAACTCTCTCATGACATCAAGCCCTCCTCAACTCTCTCATGACACCAAGTCCTCCTCAACTCTCTCATGACACCAAGTCCTCCTCAACTCTCTCATGACACCAAGTCCTCCTCAACTCTCTCATGACACCAAGTCCTCCTCAACTCTCTCATGACACCAAGCCCACCCTGTACTCTCTCATGACACCAAGTCCTCCTCAACTCTCCCATGACATCAAGCCCTCCTCAACTCTCTCATGACACCAAGTCCTCCTCAACTCTCTCATGACACCAAGTCCTCCTCAACTCTCCCATGACACCAAGTCCTCCTCAAATCTCCCATGACACCAAGTCCTCCTCAACTCTCCCATGACATCAAGCCCTCCTCAACTCTCTCATGACACCAAGTCCTCCTCAACTCTCTCATGACACCAAGTCCTCTTCTACTCTCCCATGACACCAAGCCCTCCTCAACTCTCCCATGACACCAATTCCTCCTCAACTCTCCCATGACACCAAGCCCACCCTGTACTCTCTCATGACACCAAGCCCACCTCAACTCTCTCATGACACCAAGTCCTCCTCAACACTCCCATGACACCAAGTCCTCCTCAACTCTCCCATGACACCAAGTCCTCCTCAACTCTCCCATGACACAAAGTCCTCCTCAACTCTCCCATGACACCAAGTCCTCCTCAATTCTCCCATGACACCAAGTCCTCCCCAACTCTCGGAAACCAAGTCCTCCTCAACTCTTTCGTGACACCAAGTCCTCCTCAACTCACTCATGACACCAAGTCCTCCTCAACTCTCCCATGACACCAAGTCCTCCTCAACTCTCCCATGACACCAAGTCCTCCTCAACTCACTCATGACACCAAGTCCTCCTCAACTCACTCATTTCGTGCAGCATGGCCTGTTTGTCCTCCTCGTATTTGTGCCTCAGCTCATCCTCCTTCATCCTCCACTTGTCATCAGTCTCTCGGTGTAGCGTACTTTTGTAAGACTCGAATGCTCCCTGGAGGAACTCGATCTCCTTCGTCATGCGAGCTGAAGTAGAGCATGACATCATCTGACACTGCACGGGATGCAAGTATCTCGGTGTCTCTCATCAAACACTAGAACATGGTGGCAGACCTCTGTCTACTACAGCATATCATTATGTCTGATCCAGCGTATGTCTGACGTGTACTTATACAGGGCAGGTGATGAAAGGGTGTTCAATTGTACATGTCATTGACTTCAGTTGTGTGCATGCTGCATGTGTTTTTTTCTCTTGCTCACTGTCATCGAATTCATTTTATACTGTAATGGTTTTGGTATTTTTTGCATTTCTAGGTTCATCAGGCTTTTCCCTAAGGTTTTCACATTTACAACCAAAACCTTGGAGACATGCTTTAACTAAAACATACTGATCTGAGCCTCTGCTGCCTCCCGGAACTGCCCGGCCTCAGCCTCCAGCTGCTGCTTCTGATGCTCCATCTGGGCCTGGTTCTGTTCCTCCAGGTCCCTGGAACATGTGTATTTACTCTTCAGTTATTTTTGTAGACAAAAGTATTCATAATTTATTTGCAGATTGTTTGATGCTGTAATAAAAGTTGGCAGTGGCAAATGTGTATGGTTTTACACAAATGACCTGATCCTGATTGCACCCCCTGCATGCATAAATAAGGTTGTAAGAAACAGAGATATTCTAAATTCAGTTCCATATAACAATTCACTTTAAACAGTAATACTGATTGACAAGAAATGGGAGAAAATACAAATTGAAAAATATTGTAATCTCACTTCGATGAAGACCTCCATCGGACTGTATAGGTTCCAAGTGTTGGTAAACGGGTTAGCAAACTTTATTGGCTGACGTACTAAAATATACGATAGCATATAGTATAGTGAGTATAGTTTGTAATTTGTGAGTGTCAAGTGTGTGATTAACTGATCCTATGTCCCACAATTTCAGTCCAGAATCCAGGGTGCACTCCAGATTAGTAAGATTTACTTAAAGGGTATGTGTACATGAAAACCATGAGGGTCTGTGGTCAAATGACTCATTGACACAGTGTTGGGTGGGAGGCAGCTGTATACCTGACATGGTCCTGGTGTTGACTGTGCAGTTCCTCCATCTTGTCCCGCATGTACTCCTCCGCCTGCAACACACAGATCACACACAGTCACAGGCCACACACATAATGTCACAGATCACACACAGTCACAGGTCACACTGTTACACACTGTCACAGATCACACAGTCACAGGTCACACTGTTACACACTGTTACAGGTCACACCCTGTCATAGGTCATGCACTGTCTCAGGTCACACTGTCACAGGTCACACACAGTCACAGATCACACACTGTCATAGGCTACATACTGTCACAGATCACACACTGTCATATGTCACACACTGTCATAGGACACACTGTCACAGATCACACACTGTCACAGGTCACATACATAATGTCACAGATCACACATTGTGACAAGTCACACAATGTCACAGGTCACACTGTTAAGGTCACACACTGTCAGGGGTCACACACAGTTACACATCACACACTGTCACAGGTCACACACTGTCACAGGACACACTGTATAGGTCACACACTGTCATAGGTCACAAACTGTCATAGGTCACACACAGTCACAGGTCACACTGTCACAGGTCACACACTGTCAGGGGTCACACACAGTTACACATCACACACTGTCACAGGTCACACACTGTCACAGGACACACTGTATAGGTCACACACTGTCATAGGTCACACACTGTCATAGGTCACACACAGTCACAGGTCACACTGTCACAGGTCACACTCTATAGGTCACACACACAAAATTTTAATCGAGAACTGTGTCAACATATTTGAAGTGTAGTCTGAAATGGAAGTCGGGAAAACTCCTTTCTAATTGGTTGATGTCGACTTCTTGTTAGTCATTTCAGTGGTTGGTCAAGATCGCGAAAAGGTCATTCTGATGTGTCCTGTAATGGGATGTCCTCAGATCTTTGTTTAGCGGCAGCATTGATTTTAATGAGAGTGTACTCCTACAGGAAGTGATAAATACTTGAGTGGTGAGCATGTGTCAGTTTACCCTGTGTTTGGAGTGTGTGTGTGTGTGTGGTGGGGTGTATGTGGTAGGGTGGGTGTGGTGTGTGTGGTGTGTGTGGTGGGGTGTGTGTGTGGTGGGGTGTGTGTGGTGGGGTGTGGGTGGTGGGATGTATGTGGTAGGGTGTGTGTGGTGGGGTGTGTGTGGGATGGGGTGTGTGTGTGTGGGATGGGGTGTGTGTGTGTGGTGTGGTGTGTGTGGTAGGGTGTGTGAGGTGTGGTGTGTGTGGGATGGGGTGTGTAAGGAGTGTGTGTGTGTGTGTGGTGGGATGTATGTGGTAGGGTGTGTGTGGTGTGTGTGGTGTGTGGGTGTGTGTGGTGGGGTGTGTGTGTGGTGGGGTGTGTGTGGTGGGGTGTGTGTGGTGGGATGTATGTGGTAGGGTGTGTGTGGTGTGTGTGGTGTGTGTGGTGTGGTGTGTGTGTGGTGTGGTGTGTGTGGTGTGGTGTGTGTGGTGTGTGGGGTGTTTGTGGTGGGGTGTGTGTGGTGTGGTGTGTGTGGTGTGGTGTGTGTGGTGGGGTGTGTGTGGTAGGGTGTGTGTGGTGGGGTGTGTGTGGTGGGATGTATGTGTATGTGGTGGGGTGTGTGGAGAGGGTTGTGTGGGGTGGGGTGTGAGGTGTGGGTTGCGGGGTTTGTAGAGCAGAAAGGATGAGAGGATGAGTGGTAGAGGGGGTGAGGACACAAGGGGGTGAGGAGGTGATTGTCTGAGAGGGTGAGAGAGTGAGAGGATGAGTGGTGGAGGGGATGAGGAGGTGATTGTGTGAGAGGGCGAGAAGATGAGAGGATGAGTGGTGGAGGGGGTGAGGACACGAGGGGGTGAGGAGGTGATTGTCTGAGAGGTAGAGAAGATGAGAGGATGAGTGGTGGAGGGGGTGAGGAGGTGATTGTGTGAGAGGTAGAGAAGATGAGAGGATGAGTGGTGGAGGGGGTGAGGACACGAGGGGGTGAGGAGGTGATTGTGTGAGAGGTAGAGAAGATGAGAGGATGAGTGGTGGAGGGGGTGAGGACACGAGGGGGTGAGGAGGTGATTGTGTTAGAGGTAGAGAAGATGAGAGGATGAGTGGTGGAGGGGGTGAGGAGGTGATTGTGTGAGAGGTAGAGAAGATGAGAGGATGAGTGGTGGAGGGGGTGAGGAGGTGATTGTGTGAGAGGGTGAGAGAGTGAGAGGATGAGTGGTGGAGGGGGTGAGGACACGAGGGGGTGAGGAGGTGATTGTGTGAGAGGTAGAGAAGATGAGAGGATGAGTGGTGGAGGGGGTGAGGACACGAGGGGGTGAGGAGGTGATTGTGTGAGAGGTAGAGAAGATGAGAGGATGAGTGGTGGAGGGGGTGAGGACAAGAGGGGGTGAGGAGTCGATTGTGTGAGAGGGCGAGAAGATGAGAGGATGAGTGGTGGAGGGGGTGAGGACACGAGGGGGTGAGGAGGTGATTGTGTGAGAGGGTGAGAGAGTGAGAGGATGAGTGGTGGAGGGGGTGAGGACACGAGGGGGTGAGGAGGTGATTGTGTGAGAGGTAGAGAAGATGAGAGGATGAGTGGTGGAGGGGGTGAGGACACGAGGGGGTGAGGAGGTGATTGTGTGAGAGGTAGAGAAGATGAGAGGATGAGTGGTGGAGGGGGTGAGGAGGTGATTGTGTGAGAGGTAGAGAAGATGAGAGGATGAGTGGTGGAAGGGGTGAGGAGGTGATTGTGTGAGAGGTAGAGAAGATGAGAGGATGAGTGGTGGAGGGGGTGAGGACACGAGGGGGTGAGGAGGTGATTGTGTTAGAGGTAGAGAAGATGAGAGGATGAGTGGTGGAGGGGGTGAGGACACGAGGGGGTGAGGAGGTGATTGTGTGAGAGGGCGAGAAGATGAGAGGATGAGTGGTGGAGGGGGTGAGGACACGAGGGGGTGAGGAGGTGATTGTGTGAGAGGTAGAGAAGATGAGTGGTGGAGGGGGTGAGGACACGAGGGGGTGAGGAGGTGATTGTGTGAGAGGGTGAGAGAGTGAGAGGATGAGTGGTGGAGGGGGTGAGGAGGTGATTGTGTGAGAGGGTGAGAGAGTGAGAGGATGAGTGGTGGAGGGGGTGAGGAGGTGATTGTGTGAGAGGTAGAGAAGATGAGAGGATGAGTGGTGGAGGGGGTGAGGAGGTGATTGTGTGAGAGGTAGAGAAGATGAGAGGATGAGTGGTGGAGGGGGTGAGGAGGTGATTGTGTGAGAGGGTGAGAGAGTGAGAGGATGAGTGGTGGAGGGGGTGAGGACATGAGGGGGTGAGGAGGTGATTGTCTGAGAGGTAGAGAAGATGAGAGGATGAGTGGTGGAGGGGGTGAGGACACGAGGGGGTGAGGAGGTGATTGTGAGGTTGAGCAAGGGATGAGCAAGTTGGAGAGAGGATGGAAGGATAAGAAGGTGATGAGGTGAATAGATGAGTGTATGAATGGATGAGAGGGTGGGTGCAAAGTTGAGTGGGTGAGTCCATGTGAGATCTGTTTGACTGATGAGTTTATAACATGCTTTGATTTTTTGTGAATCACCTTAAATCTACTGACCTTTCATTATCCCCTTGTCTTTTTCTGAAAACAAAGCAAACCCACTGTAAACAACTGATGTGACATGAGACAACAGTGCAAACACTGCAATCCACATCATTTCAAATAATGTTAACAAAAGAAACAGCTTTTCCCTGCTATTTTATGTTTCAATAGCATCCTTGGCTTTAAATATTTGAGTCAGCTGAACATAGGCATGATAGGAGGCACCTACTTTTGATTTTCGTCCTGAGGAGGGGTGAAGAACTCGTCTTTGAGTGTGACGGCAAACTTGCTCTTGCTGCGTGACAGGATGTAGCCGGGACCCACCACAAATGGCACCAGGGGAGCCTGGGGATACACAGTACTGAATGCAACATGTTGATCAACAATGGATGATACACTGACAACAATAAGCTGAAAAATCTTATTGCTTTTAAGAGATAACATAATCTGAATGAAAACAAATATATTTTTAAACAAAGAAATTTTGTGGTCAATCATCACTAAATGTTGTGGTCAATCATCACTAAATCATGTGGTCAATCATCACTAAATCTTGTGGTCAATCATCACTAAATTTCGTGGTCAATCATCACTAAATCGTGTGGTCAATCATCACTAAACCTTGTGGTCAATCATCAGTAAATCTTGTGGTCAATCATCACTAAATCGTGTGGTCAATCCTCACTTAATCTTGTGGTCACACATTCCCTCGACCCAGTCCACACACACATTCCCTCCCCCCAGTCCACACACATTCCCTCCTCCCAGTCCAAACACACATTACCTCCCCCAGTCCACACACACATTCCCTCCCCCCAGTGCAGACACACATCCCCTCCCCCAGTCCACACACACATTACCTCCCCCAGTCCACACACACATTCCCTCCCCCCAGTCCACACACACACATTCCCTCCCCCAGTCCACACACACATTCCCTCCCCCAAGTCCACACACACACATTACCTCCCCCAGTCCACACACACATTCCCTCCCCCCAGTGCACACACACATCCCCTCCCCAAGTCCACACACACATTACCTCCCCCAGTCCACACACACACATTCCCTCCCCCCAGTCCACACACACATTCCCTCCCCCCAGTCCACACACACATTCCCTCCTCCCAGTCCACACACACATCCCCTCCCCCCAGTCCACACACACATTCCCTCCTCCCAGTCCACACACACATCCCCTCCCCCCAGTCCACACACACACATCCCCTCCCCCCAGTGCACACACACATCCCCTCCCCCAGTCCACACACACATTACCTCCCCCAGTCCACACACACACATTCCCTCCCCCCAGTCCACACACACATTCCCTCCCCCAGTCCACACACACATTCCCTCCTCCCAGTCCACACACACATCCCCTCCCCCCAGTCCACACACACATTCCCTCCTCCCAGTCCACACACACATCCCCTCCCCCCAGTCCACACACACACATCCCCTCCCCCCAGTCCACACACACATTCCCTCCCCCAGTCCACACACACATTCCCTCCCCCCAGTGCACACACACATCCCCTCCCCCAGTCCACACACACATTCCCTCCCCCCAGTCCACACACACATTCCCTCCCCCCAGTGCACACACACATCCCCTCCCCCCAGTGCAAACACACATTCCCTCCCCCCAGTCCACACACACATCCCCTCCCCCAGTCCACACACACATCCCCTCCCCCCAGTCCACACACACATTCCCTCCCCCCAGTCCACACACACATCCCCTCCCCCAGTCCACACACACATTCCCTCCCCCAGTCCACACACACACATTCCCTCCCCCAGTCCACACACACATTACCTCCCCCAGTCCACACACACACATCCCCTCCCCCAGTCCACACACACATCCCCTCCCCCAGTCCACACACACATTCCCTCCCCCAGTCCACACACACATCCCCTCCCCCAGTCCACACACACATTCCCTCCCCCAGTCCACACACACATTACCTCCCCCCAGTCCACACACACATTCCCTCCCCCCAGTGCACACACACATTCCCTCCCCCATTCCACACACACATTCCCTCCCCCAGTCCACACACATTCCCTCCCCCAGTCCACACACACATTCCCTCCCCCCAGTCCACACACACATCCCCTCCCCCAGTCCACACACACATTCCCTCCCCACAGTCCACACACACACATTCCCTCCCCCCAGTCCACACACACATTCCCATCCCCCCAGTCCCCACACACATTCCATCCCCCCAGTCCACACACACACATCCCCTCCCCCCAGTCCACACACACATTCCCTCCCCCCAGTGCACACACACATCCCCTCCCCCAGTCCACACACACATTCCCTCCCCCCAGTCCACACACACATTCCCTCCCCCCAGTGCACACACACATCCCCTCCCCCCAGTGCAAACACACATTCCCTCCCCCCAGTCCACACACACATCCCCTCCCCCAGTCCACACACACATCCCCTCCCCCCAGTCCACACACACATTCCCTCCCCCCAGTCCACACACACATCCCCTCCCCCAGTCCACACACACATTCCCTCCCCCAGTCCACACACACACATTCCCTCCCCCAGTCCACACACACATTACCTCCCCCAGTCCACACACACATCCCCTCCCCCAGTCCACACACACATCCCCTCCCCCAGTCCACACACACATTCCCTCCCCCAGTCCACACACACATTCCCTCCCCCCAGTCCACACACACATTCCCTCCCCCCAGTGCACACACACATTCCCTCCCCCATTCCACACACACATTCCCTCCCCCAGTCCACACACATTCCCTCCCCCAGTCCACACACACATTCCCTCCCCCCAGTCCACACACACATCCCCTCCCCCAGTCCACACACACATTCCCTCCCCACAGTCCACACACACACATTCCCTCCCCCCAGTCCACACACACATTCCCATCCCCCCAGTCCCCACACACATTCCCATCCCCCCAGTCCCCACACACATCCCCTCCCCCCAGTCCACACACACACATCCCCTCCCCCCAGTCCACACACACATTCCCTCCCCCAGTCCACACACACATTCCCTCCCCCCAGTGCACACACACATCCCCTCCCCCAGTCCACACACACATTCCCTCCCCCCAGTCCACACACACATTCCCTCCCCCCAGTGCACACACACATCCCCTCCCCCCAGTGCAAACACACATTCCCTCCCCCCAGTCCACACACACATCCCCTCCCCCAGTCCACACACACATCCCCTCCCCCCAGTCCACACACACATTCCCTCCCCCCAGTCCACACACACATCCCCTCCCCCAGTCCACACACACATTCCCTCCCCCAGTCCACACACACACATTCCCTCCCCCAGTCCACACACACATTACCTCCCCCAGTCCACACACACATCCCCTCCCCCAGTCCACACACACATCCCCTCCCCCAGTCCACACACACATTCCCTCCCCCAGTCCACACACACATTCCCTCCCCCCAGTCCACACACACATTCCCTCCCCCCAGTGCACACACACATTCCCTCCCCCAGTCCACACACACATTCCCTCCCCCAGTCCACACACATTCCCTCCCCCAGTCCACACACACATTCCCTCCCCCCAGTCCACACACACATCCCCTCCCCCAGTCCACACACACATTCCCTCCCCACAGTCCACACACACACATTCCCTCCCCCCAGTCCACACACACATTCCCATCCCCCCAGTCCACACACACATTCCCTCCCCCCAGTCCACACACACATCCCCTCCCCCCAGTCCACACACACATTCCCTCCCCCCAGTCCACACACACATTCCATCCCTAGTCCACTGTGTCCACCCTGCTCTCACCTCCATGTTTTTCTGCCATGGTGGAGGTTTGCTGCGTTTGGTGGGGAGATGATTCTCAAAGTTGTGTCGTCGTGTCGGCTCCTGCTCCACCTGCACAACACGGTCACAGCTGGGGAGAACAATATATGTGGTCAGTGGGGGTGGCTGTGATCCACCTCATGGTCACAGCTAGGGAGAACAATATATGTGGTCAGTGGGGGTGGCTGTGATCCACCTCATGGTCACAGCTAGGGAGAACAATATATGTGGTCAGTGGGGGTGGCTGTGATCCACCTCATGGTCACAGCTAGGGAGAACAATATATGTGGTCAGTGGGGGTGGCTGTGATCCACCTCATGGTCACAGCTAGGGAGAACAATATATGTGGTCAGTGGGGGTGGCTGTGATCCACCTCATGGTCACAGCTAGGGAGAACAATATATGTGGTCAGTGGTCACAGCTGGGAAGAACAATATATGTGGTCAGTGGTCACAGCTGGGAAGAACAATATATGTGGTCAGTGGTCACAGCTGGGTTGGAGTTGTATTGTGTCAAGTAAAAAGTTTTATTATTCCCCATTGTGAAGTATACTATCTCTCTAACCTCCTTGACCTGTTGCCCCCCACCCCAACCCCCAACACTGTACTCACTCTGTCCGGGACAAGACAGCGGCTGCAGTCTTCGGTCTGTTCATCCGTCCACCGCTGCTGTGTGCCCGGGACGAGGCTGGGGTCGACCTGCACATACAATGATGGCAGTATAGGGTAAGGTTGACTGGGATAAACCGGAACAGTTCTGAGAAGAATGTGGCCTGGCTTTGTACCTTTGTCTCATAACTGTACCTGTATCTCCTGGTATCTACAGACACTGCATTATGGAATAAAGTTTTCATCAAACGGATATTTCATTTAACCAAACTCCATTTTGGGGAGAGGGAGGAACGTTCAACATGAGGAACAAAGCTTGAGACAGAAGCTGATTCCAAGGTCTAGTCATGGCTGTCCTATCACATAAAACATCTTGGATGTAGGCCTACTTGTAAACTTCTCAGTAAATGCCAATGTGGCATTATTATTTACTGGAGCACTATTTGTGAAGAACAGCAAAATCTTGTCTTCATGAAATGATTTTACAAATAACTCAAAGTAGTTGTCATATCACACCACATGGTGCCTTAAAGTGTCCCACACAGCATCTTCCCAAGGCAAGTGTGTCCACTAGCCTATATCAAAGCCTAGTTTCTACCCTTGCCACATCAAGGCCACTTTTCCTGGCTCGACCCTGGTACCATCTCACGTAGATCACAAGTTGTGCCCCTTGTAATGAAAACGTGATAAAAGATGAAAAAACATATTCGTGTCAACAAAGACAGGCAGCGTTAAATCACTTTCATACGAGGTGTACCAGTCGTGGATGTTGATTTTGTGAAACGTTTTCTGATTGGACTATTGATATGTCGGTAATCCAAACATATTTAGCACAGCAAAATGGGCTTGATGTGGCAAGGGTGGAAACAGGACTTTGTTAAAAAGGCTAGTGGATGCTCTTGTCTTGGGAAGGTGCTCACACAGATGTCGAGGCATTGTTGTTTGAGCACGTTAGCTTTTTGAAGTCTGTAGTTGACATAATATATACTCACTCACTCACTCACACACAATTTCCTATACTTTTCTTACATACTATCATGAACAGAAATCATGAATAGGCGGCTCTCCTTCTCCCCCATACACACTTACACAACATGGTGGAGTAACTGTTGCCGATGACGCTGACACTCCTTTATACGTTGTCTGCACATCCAACAGACGTTCATCATGTCTCAGTTGTGTATATCCGAGTGTTATTACTTAGTTATTCATATACCTCCATTATGCTAACAATTCCAGGCCATAGTCGGATCCCATTATTACTCAACAGACATTCAGACATAAGCATGATACTGACACCAGTGACGTTGTAGGGTACAAGCAGCTTCTCTCGTCACTCAGTTTCCTGGAATCTTATTGCACTGTGACAGAGGAGTAAGGAATCCCACTACATTCCAACACTTGTCTCACAGTTCCTGAAAGGAATTCCTTGGTAGCTCCAATAAGTTGCATCTGTCTTGATGCTATTGTTGCCTTCACTTCATCCCCCAGCTATAACCCTGTGATCTGTGAGTGAATGAAGGCTGGTTATAAGTGAATAAAGAAAGCAAGATGTCACCCGCCTGTAAGACTACACCAGGCTATGTCTGACAGACCTGGCTTGTAAATGCTGCCGGTCACAGCACACAGATCATAACAAATATGATATTCAGTAGCTGTATTGAACGCCTCGTAACTCATGTAAATGGCTGACAGGATAGTGATATATGGAGGGTTACCGCGAGGGCCAAATGAATGTATAACCTTTGTGGGCTGACCGATCTCACTAGGCAAGCAGGAATTGTAACTAATCCTATCTGCCACTCTGGCATTAGGCCTCTTAATGAGGATTATCTGTGAGGCATGGAGGCAGGTAGACGGTTACCTTGCAGTGTCTTAAATACCTTGACCTTGTAATTAGATCCCACAACATGCAGTGAGTGAGTGAGTGAGGCTTTGTACCATGGTTGTTTGTTAAGCTGCGTTAGAACGATGCATATATCCATATTTATGGCACTTTTTGGACGTTAACATTAAATTTGGATACAGACTAATGTAAATCATGAGATATCTTAAAAAATGCATTGATATTTGAATGGGAAACTTTCATGAAGTATTTTCATTAAGTGTAGTTTTTTTTGCGGTTCAGTATTGAATTAAATCATCAAAAAAGCATTTGTTACTTTGGAGTTCACAATCATTTATCACATACTTCTATATACGGGTAAACTCCTACATAAAGGTAAACTCCTATATACAGGTAAACCCCTATATCAGGGTAAACTCCTACATAAAGGTAAACTCCTATATACGGGTAAACTCCTATATAAATTCCTACATAAAGGTAAACTCCTATATATAGGTAAACCCCTATAAACGGGTAAACTTCTATATAGAGGTAAACTCCTATATCAAGGTAAACTCCTACATAAAGGTAAACTATATACACGTCAACTCCAATATACTGGGAAACTTCTATACACAGGTAAACTGCCAAATACAGGTAAACTCCTATATACAGAGAAACTTCTATACACAGGTAACTCCTATATACAGGTAAACTCCTAAATACAGGTAAACTGCTATATACAGGTAAACTCCTATATACAGGTAAACTCCTAAATACAGGTAAACTGCTATATACAGGTAAACTCCTAAATACAGAGAAACTTCTATACATAGGTAAACTGCTATATACAGGTAAACTCCTAAATACAGAGAAACTTCTATACACAGGTAAACTCCTATATACAGGTAAACTCCTATATACAGGTAAACTGCTATATACAGGTAAACTCCTAAATACAGGTAAACTGCTATATACAGGTAAACTCCTATATACAGGTAAACTCCTAAATACAGGTAAACTGCTATATACAGGTAAACTGCTATATACAGGTAAACTCCTATATACAGGTAAACTCCTAAATACAGGTAAACTGCTATATACAGGTAAACTCCTAAATACAGGTAAACTGCTATATACAGGTAAACTCCTAAATACAGGTCAACTCCTATATAAAGGTAAACTCCTGACAAAGTGGTGGTGATTACTTACAGACTGGTCTAGAAGTTGGTCAGGGGGAGCCTACTGAAGCATGGTGCTAATACAATGAATGGTACACCCGTAGGGGATGTCTCGCTTATCAGTGAACACTACAGAGATTAGATGGTACAAGAACTGCAGGAGATATAGACAGGAGAACAAACACGACACTTGAGTTCCTACCTAGCAGCACACACACAAATAACCACCGACCACTCAACAAGACAGTGTAGGTGCATGGTATACCTGCTACTTGAGTTTCCACCCAAGTACAGGGCAGCCAGTATCTCCACTACAATGCATCCAAGCAATATACAACTCTATATGGTCACAGAGAATTGTAAACTAACCAATAAACCTGGCCAAGGGTCTCCCATGTCAGGCTTAACAAATATCAATACATGCCAATGTGCTAACCCAACAGTATATTGTAAATGAGACATGTTCCACCCTTATTACAAATGTTAATGAAACCTATATTTCTGTATTTGCTGTGTTGATAGAGAGGACAGAGAGAGACTATGTTGGGGGGTGCGTCCCCAGGAGCTACTCTCACAGGAACTGCCATGTTGCCACGGAGCTTGCTCGCGCTCACTTGGAGGAACTGTGGTCACCATTTGTCAGTGTGCCAATTTGATAACACCTCTAATGCTGCCAGGCTCATCACCGACTGTATCTTGATATACAAGCTGTATAACGGACATATATCATCTGTATTTGAGATATATACAATGATATATATACAGTGTATAGTTCCCACTGTTTTGAATAGCTTACTAGAAGAGATGGCGTCAAAATGGTTGTCATGGTTAGTTTGAGATTACTTCCCTAGTAACAGATGTTGAAAATAAAAACAAACATACACAAACATATGTCCACACCAGACAAGTCTACAGATAACAGATATAGTTCCACACCGGTTTCACAACAGTACATGCTGAGAAATACTGAAAACAACTGCACCTCACACTTATACCATGTCTTAAGACATAACATGGCAAAAAGTGAGCAGTGCTCACTAATATGCCCGACTTTTACTCCAAAATATTTCTAAGTTCAAAACATGAAAAAAGCAATATTTTTTTAGAAAATCCATTTATTGAAATCAAACTTAGCACAGCACCTCTCCTATAAGTAAAGAAACTGTACCCCATTTGGAAAAGAATTCATGAAGTAGTTTTCAGGTTAGAGGCTGCACAAATGTTGAAGTAAAAAGTAATTCAAAACTATATATGCTCAGCCCTTTTAGGTCGGGGGTCTAAATATTGTTTATTGTATATACCGGATGCATCACATGAAGTGGCAGGGATCTTGGGTAGTGGTTAAAGTGTTGGCTCATAACACGGATAACTAAGGAACAATTCCCCACATGGGTACAATGTGTGAAGCCCATTTCTAGTGTCCCCTGCCGCGATAGGCCTGGAATATTGCTAAAACGGCACAAAACTATACTCACTCACTCACTCATATGAAGTATAAATTATCGGTGAATGGCTTTCTCAATATGTACACAACTGGCTGACTGTGACATATTCAGTCAGACTCATATTTCAGTAATTTTATGATATGACTAAATCTTTCAGTCATTTCATTAAATGATTATAACGGTGAGACAGATTAGGGCCCAGCATTGGCAAAAAATTGTATTGCAGTATATTGTGATACTGGTATATCTGTATTGTGATAGATATTGCAATACACTTGGAGCTGAAGTGTTTGACAGTGAGTGACACTGGTTGAACATGTAGATCCTATTTTCTACATACTAAAGTTAATATTACACAGCATACTGAGTCGAGCCCACTTTGTAGTCATGGATACAGGGGAGATACAATGTGAGAGAAAAATCACTCCCTCGTTCCCATAATTTGTCAAGCAGTTTTGAAGTGAAACATCATTTGTGAATGAATTTTTGTGTAGTCTTTAGGTTAAACAATACAAATAATAAAAAAACAAACCTTGTTATATTTTCTTTACCTAACAAACCGAAACAGAAAAACTATAGCAATATGTATCATTTGAAAAGCTTATTGCAGTATAGGGTCAGACCTGAGTTATACCATTC